TTTTTTTTTAATAGGCTAGTTTCCCCACAATGAATGTCCATACATGCCATCAGATGGATCCTGACCCCCATATCCCTTTGAAAGGGGCGAAGGGGCAAATATTGTAAAAATTTAAATTATCACAACTTTCGTGCCGAAATTAGAAGGGCCGGGGTGGTTCAGCATTTTGGAGGAAAATATTATTTTTTTGAATAGGTTAGTTTCCCCACAATGAATGTCCATACATGCCATTAGATGGATCCTGACCCCCAATCCCTTTGAAAGGGGCGTAGGGGCAAATATTGTGATAATTTGAATAAACACCAATTTCAGGCCGAAATGGTAAGGGCCGGGGTGGTTCAAGATTTTGTAGGAAAATATATATTTTTTTTTAATAGGTTAGTTTCCCCACAATGAATGTACATACATGCCATTAGGTTGATCCTGACTCCCATATCCCTTTGAAAGGGGCGAAGGGGCAAATATTGTAAAAATTTGAATTATCACAACTTTCGGGCCGAAATGGTAAGGGCCGTTGTGGTTTTGAGGATTTTGGAGGAAAATATATATTTTTTTTAATAGGTTAGTTTCCCCACAATGAATGTCCATACATGCCATTAGATGGATCCTGACCCCCATATCCCTTTGAAAGGGGCGTAGGGGCAAATATTGTAAAAATTTGAATTATCACAACTTTCTTGCCGAAATGGTAAGGGCCGGGGTGGTTCAGCATTTTGGAGGAAAATATATATTTTTTTTAATAGATTAGTTTCCCCACAATGAATGTCCATACATGCCATTAGATGGATCTTGACCCCCATATCCCTTTGAAAGGGGCGTAGGGGCAAATATTGTGATAATTTGAATAAACACCAATTTCAGGCCGAAATGGTAAGTGCCGGGGTGGGTCAGCATTTTGGAGGAAAATATTATATTTTTTGAATAGGCTAGTTTCCCCACAATGAATGTACATACATGCCATTAGATGGATCCTGACCCCCATATCCCTCTGGAAGGGGCGTAGGGGCAAATATTGTAAAAATTTGAATTATCACAACTTTCAGGCTGAAATTAGAAGGTCCGGGGTGGTTCAGCATTTTGGAGGAAAATATTATTTTTTTTGAATAGGTTAGTTTCCCCACAATGGATGTCCATACATGCCATTAGATGGATCCTGACCCCCAATCCCTTTGAAAGGGGCGTAGGGGCAAATATTGTGATAATTTGAATAAACACCAATTTCAGGCCGAAATGGTAAGGGCCGGGGTGGTTCAGGATTTTGGAGGAAAATATATATATTTTTTTAATAGGTTAGTTTCCCCACAATGAATGTACATACATGCCATTAGGTTGATCCTGACTCCCATATCCCTTTGAAAGGGGCGAAGGGGCAAATATTGTAAAAATTTGAATTATCACATTTTTCTTGCCGAAATGGTAATGTCCGGGGTGGTTCAGGATTTTGGAGGAAAATATATATATATTTTTTAATAGGTTAGTTTCCCCACAATGAATGTACATACATGCCATTAGGTTGATCCTGACTCCCATATCCCTTTGAAAGGGGCGAAGGGGCAAATATTGTAAAAATTTGAATTATCACAATTTTCTTGCCGAAATGGTAAGGTCTGGGGTGGTTCAGCATTTTGGAGGAAAATATTTTTTTTTTTTAATAGGCTAGTTTCCCCACAATGAATGTCCATACATGCCATCAGATGGATCCTGACCCCCATATCCCTTTGAAAGGGGCGAAGGGGCAAATATTGTAAAAATTTAAATTATCACAACTTTCGTGCCGAAATTAGAAGGGCCGGGGTGGTTCAGCATTTTGGAGGAAAATATTATTTTTTTTGAATAGGTTAGTTTCCCCACAATGAATGTCCATACATGCCATTAGATGGATCCTGACCCCCAATCCCTTTGAAAGGGGCGTAGGGGCAAATATTGTGATAATTTGAATAAACACCAATTTCAGGCCGAAATGGTAAGGGCCGGGGTGGTTCAAGATTTTGTAGGAAAATATATATTTTTTTTTAATAGGTTAGTTTCCCCACAATGAATGTACATACATGCCATTAGGTTGATCCTGACTCCAATATCCCTTTGAAAGGGGCGAAGGGGCAAATATTGTAAAAATTTGAATTATCACAACTTTCGGGCCGAAATGGTAAGGGCCGTTGTGGTTTTGAGGATTTTGGAGGAAAATATATATTTTTTTTAATAGGTTAGTTTCCCCACAATGAATGTCCATACATGCCATTAGATGGATCCTGACCCCCATATCCCTTTGAAAGGGGCGTAGGGGCAAATATTGTAAAAATTTGAATTATCACAACTTTCTTGCCGAAATGGTAAGGGCCGGGGTGGTTCAGCATTTTGGAGGAAAATATATATTTTTTTTAATAGATTAGTTTCCCCACAATGAATGTCCATACATGCCATTAGATGGATCTTGACCCCCATATCCCTTTGAAAGGGGCGTAGGGGCAAATATTGTGATAATTTGAATAAACACCAATTTCAGGCCGAAATGGTAAGTGCCGGGGTGGGTCAGCATTTTGGAGGAAAATATTATATTTTTTGAATAGGCTAGTTTCCCCACAATGAATGTACATACATGCCATTAGATGGATCCTGACCCCCATATCCCTCTGGAAGGGGCGTAGGGGCAAATATTGTAAAAATTTGAATTATCACAACTTTCAGGCTGAAATTAGAAGGTCCGGGGTGGTTCAGCATTTTGGAGGAAAATATTATTTTTTTTGAATAGGTTAGTTTCACGTCAATGAATGTCCATACATGCCATTAGATGGATCCTGACCCCCAATCCCTTTGAAAGGGGCGTAGGGGCAAATATTGTGATAATTTGAATAAACACCAATTTCAGGCCGAAATGGTAAGGGCCGGGGTGGTTCAGCATTTTGGAGGAAAATATTATATTTTTTTTAATAGGTTAGTTTCCCCACAATGAATGTCCATACATGCCATTAGATGGATCCTGACCCCCATATCCCTTTGAAAGGGGCGTAGGGGCAAATATTGTAAAAATTTGAATTATCACAACTTTTGTGACGAAATGGTAAGGGCCGGGGTGGTTCAGCATTTTGGAGGAAAATATTATATTTTTTGAATAGGCTAGTTTCCCCACAATGAATGTACATACATGCCATTAGATGGATCCTGACCCCCATATCCCTTTGAAAGGGGCGAAGGGGCAAATATTGTAAAAATTTGAATAAACACCAATTTCAGGCCGAAATGGTAAGGGCCGGGGTGGTTCAGCATTTTGGAGGAAAATATATTTTTTTTAATAGGCTAGTTTCCCCACAATGAATGTACATACATGCCATTTGATTGATCCTGACCCCCATATCCCTTTGAAAGGGGCGAAGGGGCAAATATTGTAAAAATTTGAATTATCACAACTTTCGTGCCGAAATTAGAAGGGCCGGGGTGGTTCAGCATTTTGGAGGAAAATATATATTTTTTTAATAGGCTAGTTTCTCCACAATGAATGTACCTACATGCTATTAGATGGATCTTGACCCCCATATCCCTTTGAAAGGGGCGTAGTGGCAAATATTGTGATAATTTGAATTATCACAACTTTCGTGCCGAAATTGTAAGGGCCGGGGTGGTTCAGCATTTTGGAGGAAAATATTATTTTTATGCCTCCGCCACCGAAGGTGGTGCCGGAGGCATCATGTTTTCGGGTTGTCCGTCCGTACGTCCGTCCCGTTTGACCGTTATCACAATATCTCAAGAACCATTTAAGATTTAAACTTAAGACTCGGGAATAGTATTTATCACCATAGGAAGACGATCTGATTAGATTTTGGAGTACGTAGGTCAAAGGTCACAGGTCACAGAGGTCAACTTATGAAATTCCTTGTATTGAGTTTGTTAGCGCGATATCTCAAGAACCATTTGAGATTTAAACTTCAAACTTAGGGATAGTATGTATCACCATAGGAAGACGATCTGCTTAGATTTTGGAGCACGTATGTCGAAGGTCAAGGGTCACAGAGGTCAACTTATGAAATTCCATACATTGAGATTGTTATCATGATATCTCAAGAACCACTGGAGATTTAAACTTCAAACTTAGTGATAGTGTGTATCACTATAGGAAAACAATCTGATTACATTTTGGAGCACGTAGGTCAAAGGTCAAGGGTCATAGAGGTCAACTTATGAAATTCCATACATTGAGATTGTTATGATATCTCAAGAACCACTGGAGATGTAAAAACTTCAAACTTAAGGATAGTATGTATCACCATAGGAAGACGATCTGACTAGATTTTGGAGTACGTAGGTCAAAGGTCAAGGGTCACAAAGGTCAACTAATGAAATTCCATACATTGAGATTGTTATCATAATATCTCAAGAACCACTGGAGATTTAAACTTCAAACTTAATGATAGTGTGTATCACCATAGGAAGACAATCTGATTAGATTTTGGAGCACGTAGGTCAAAGGTCAAGGGTCACAGAGGTCAACTTATGAAATTCCATACATTGAGATCGTTATCGCGATATCTCAAGAACCACTGGAGAATTTTCACTTCAAACTTAATGATAGTATGTATCACCATATCATAATATCTCAAGAACCACTGGAGATTTAAACTTCAAACTTAATGATAGTGTGTATCACCATAGGAAGACAATCTGATTAGATTTTGGAGCACGTAGGTCAAAGGTCAAGGGTCACAGAGGTCAACTTATGAAATTCCATACATTGAGATTGTTATCATGATATCTCAAGAACCACCGGAGATTTAAACTCCAAACTTGTTTAAATTGCTCTAGGGCGGAGGCATCATTTTCGACTGCGCGCAGTCAAAATTCCATCTAGTTTCACAATACAATTGCATGTTTAGAACCTCAACTTTATCTTAAGTGATAAAGTTATCCTGTGTATATTTGAATGAGAAAATAGTTTGAAAGGGGTTTCATGGTTTAACTTATTATTAAAAAGTATCCATTCTCTTCTATAATTTTCATTTCATTTATAGGATAGAGTATTGGTCACAGCTGGTGAAGGGGAGATGATATCCCTCCTCAAAGTGAATGACAAGAAGACTAAGCTATCACAGCTAACAGAATTCAAGGCACATGAAAAGAGGTGGGGACATCATATATATGATATATATCTTTTTTGTTCTCCATGCTGCATGTTACTGTCATGATCGTCTCTTTGCAAACATGTAGATATTGAAAATGATGATGATGATGATGATGATGATGATGATGATGATGATAATGATGATGATGATGATGATGATGATGATGATGATGATGATGATGATGATGATGATGAAGAGGAAGATGAATAAGAAGGAGGAGGAGTAAAAAAGGGCAGAGAAGGAGCAGGAGAAGAAGAAGAGAAAGAGGATAAAGAAAAGGAGAACAAGAACAAGAAAGAAACAAAAAGAACAAGAAGAACCAGAAGAAGGAGAAAACTAAGGAGGAGTAGAAGGAGAAGAAGAGAAATAAGAGAGAAAAGAAGAAAAGAATGATAATAATTAGGAGGAGGAGGAGGAGAAGGAAAGAAAAGAAGGAATGAGAAGACAGAATGCCTACAGTGTGCATGTATAAATATGAACTGTGAAGGAAGGCAATCACTAAATGAAGTTTTTTGTATGGCTCTCTTTTTCATCTGCAGAATCAAGTCTCTGAAATGTGTCAATGCTCGTGGAAGCAAATCAAAGCAGACTGAGAAATGGCTTCTATCCGCATCTAGTGATGGCTTTCTCAAGATATGGTGTATAGATACAGAAAAGGTGTGTAGTACATGTGTTTTACGATCCCAGTACAGTGTATGCTCACTCAACATCGTAATCAAAATCTTTATGCACGACTGTAATGAAAGACGGGTAGTTTTTCAGATCATCAATCTTTCTAGGTTTTTTTTAAATCAATGACATTTTTGCAACGATTACTCCATGTTCATTTTTCTATAATAATAACAAAATCCTGAACTTCAACCTTGGATCAAACATTATACCTAATCCTAACCCTAATCCCAACCTAAAACCCTATTACAATCCAACCCTATCTCTATATTTTTTTCTCAAATTGAAGCATGGAGCAATTGTTTTGATGTAAAAGTCAGGTCACTGGTCACTTAACATTGTAATAAGTGTAATTTTTCCCACAGAGACCCACACAAATTTGACCCCTTTTCAAGCCATCCACAAATATTATTTTGCAGACGGCAAACATTCACATTTAGAAGTACATTTCTTATTAGATGAACAATGTCACCAATTTGAGGTCTTTTTAAATTGAATTTAATAAGCATCAAAATTCAGAAATACTTTGTTCCTCATTGTCTCGAGTAGAGTGACAAGTCTTCTAAATATCTGTTTGATATCATTTGTTTTCAAACAGTTATTTGATGGATATCAAGTATTACCCCAGTAGAAAGATTTGATCTCCCCTGTCAGAACAATATATCTTACGAGCCACTCATCCTCTCCAAGCGCTATAGTTCTCCTTAGAACTATAAGCTAAGAAAGATAACAAAAGTCCTTTTCAGGACTACACACCCCCAAGAAAGATTACTGAGTCAGAGTACTTTTCAGGACTCCTCAACCCTCTCTCTCTCTCTCACACATGGTGTACCCGCAAGCCTACTGTGAATATATCTTACGACTTCATTTTCTCTCAGATCACAGATTCTCCAGTATTACTCTCAGAGGTGGATTCCAAAGCCAGACTGACATGCTTAGCTGTGAGACAAGCGCCCTCTGTGGTCAGTGAAGAGAAAGAGACTTCCCAGCAAACCACTAAGCGCTCCACAGAAAGCAAAACTGGTGAGGAACAGCATTTTACTCTACTGAACTTCTTGTTGCAAAAGATGTATAGAATATTTCATGTATCTTGTAGATAGGATTTATATACTTTTAAGCAAAAATTGATTCACACTGACAAACTCTACACCCCAAGGCCTTACAATATAGGGGGAGAAGCTTTCACATAAATAAAAGGGTTAATTGATTTTTCATATTCATTTTTGGTGCAAAAATGTACATCCAACCCCCTCCTCACCCCTACCCCCAAAAATTTGCTGAAATTGTTTTGTTGTCATATTTTTTAAAAACCTTTTTTTAATGGGGGAGGGGGGGGGGGGGGGGGGGGGGGGGGTTCCCTTGAACTCCCAGTTTTTTTATGGCCCTGCCCATTGTGCACTACTTATAACTGCTGAATATGAGTGATCAATCTTGTTTTAGTCTACTCTTTATATTTCAGATGACATAGTGTTTCGAGTAATAAATCTTGTTTTTTCTGTTCTTTATATTCCAGATGACACAGTGGTGAAGAAGAAGAAGAAGAAGAGCAAACCTTGATCTACTTCTCTCAGATCTCCAGATTTAGAATTATCTTTTGTCAGTTTAAGGAAGACCATTCAAAGCATAACTTGTTTAGTTCCATTTAGTTCTATTCTGGTATTTTCTGTTCAAAATATGGTTAGTCTTAAAACTAGCATTGCACTCTAAATAAAGGTGAAAGCGCTCTGTGAGTGGGCGAGACCGAAACATTCCAGAAATTTGGCGTGTTCAGAAGTTGACTTCAAACGATGGCCTTTAAATATGAAAATCTCTTTTTTTACCCTTTAAATGTTATGTATGTGAATGTGTGGTATTGTTTGGAGAATGATATTATGTTGTCTAATGATATAAAATTATTGTTATTAAAATTACCAACAAAACTGACACAAGCCTGAAGACAACAGGCCAAAATGAGAATTGGTTAGTTTTTTTAGTCAGTTTGGATTTGACTGGGTGGTGTGATTGGGTCTGTACTATACTTATATCTCTCGACACTAAATTCAATTTGTTTTTCCACCTAAGACCCCTCATCCTTCGTCACTCATGTACAGTATGAACGCAATCTCTGTATTTTTCAAATCATGTCTACTGTACTATCATCTCTCGTACTATCTTCTCTTTACATCTCTTCTTCCTCCTGGTATCTCCCTTCATCATGTATGAAAATAGATTGATTTTTTCTAAAATAAACAAATCAATATTTTGACCTGTATTTATACTAAGGAACTTAAACATGCATTATGACAAAAGATATAGCTGGATTCTGTTTATAAGAGCATAATATTTATTCATAATATGTGAAGTCATATATTTACAATTTGACACTGTAGAGCATACAGTTGCAAACAATGATTTATTGTGGACCATATCTAAAATCAAGAATCTCTTCCATAAAATATGCATTGTCAAAAAAATTAAAAGAATGAAATTTTACAAGTTTAATAATGTTTTGACATGGCCATGAAATTATTTCAATCGTTTATTATGTATGGTGTTAAAATAAAATGAATAAGTACTTATGTTTTTAAAATGAAAACATCTAGTAACTAAAAAATTTGTACTGATTTTGTTGTATTCACAAGCAGGTAAATATAACCATAAATCATAGAGATGTGTACCATGTATTATCACAATGAGAAAAATAATATAAAAGAAATTCCATACCATTGTCATGATTTATCTATCTCGTGTTCGGTAGTCATTTGGACTCGCACTCCATTTGTTCATAGGTTATATATTAGCTTTAAAGTAAACCTGTTGTGGTCGCGAGTGGAGTTAAATTGTAGCCCTTTTATACAGAATAATATTGCTCCAGAAAGAAAACAATTTAACTGCAGCTTCTTTATAAAAAATAAATGATGCTATCTGCATTTTAGCCAGCATACATTTTAAAGGGTGTCGTTTTATTCATGATGTAAACCGATGATGATGATAATGAAGGAGGTGGTGGTGATGATTATGTTATGATGCTGATAATTGTGATTATGTTGATGATTATGTTGATGATAATGATAATGATGATGATTAATGATGATGCTGATAATGCTGATAATTATGATGAAGATGATGATGGTGACGATGAGGAAGATGTTTGTATTGATGTGGATTATGATGATGCAGATGCAGATGATCCTGATGGTGATGATGAGGAAGAGCACGAAAAGGAAGAGGAAGAAGAAGTTGATGAAAGATGAGATGGTGACATTGATGAATCCAAAAGTATTAAAGGTAAAGACCAGTTATGGTCATGCGATTGCATTGTGAAAGAAACGTTGTGGAATCGATCAGAAAAGGTTGATCATCTAGCATCTAGCATCTGCAAGGTTCTGGAATCATCAAAATGATAAGAAATTTGGCCCATTCTTCGTAAAGTTACAAGCACTATACACAGAAAGATGTATATGGGACTACCCTATATCTCTCACAGACCATGAGAGAAACGAATTTACCAAATATATGAATTAGTAGGCGTTTTCCCGGCAAATTTTTTATCATCACGTATTAGTCAACACATATTCTTTCACATGATTGGTAATGAGAGCTTCCATTTCATTTTTTGAAATTGGGGCGTTTCCAATACTGGTCTTTACCTTTAAGACTAAATAAATCTGATAATCATGACCAGTATCAAATGCTTATTGCAATAATAGTGACTTTATAATACTGGAAAGCTATTAAATGAAAATACACAGTCGGCATTCAGGCTTTATTTAAAAAATCTCAAAGCTATTCCTATAGCCACTCTCGCCCTCTATATAGCAAAAAATGCCTAATTGGTGACCATCGGTCCCCCATGATCCTCTTTTTCTTATGTTAATTGAGAGCTGATTTGATGAGATAACCATCTGTCAGTGACCAGTGACCTCCTGGCCAAACTAGTGCAGATGGGCTTTAAATAGACTGCTGTCCATTGCCTCAATCAGAAACGACCCTTGCCTAAGATTGCCCTCTATTTCTTTGTCTGGTATCTGCCCATCCGCTTGAACTTCTTCCGTTTCTTGTCCTTCTCTTTGCTGTCGTCCGCTTTGTCCTTCTTCATCCGAGCTTTCATCTTGGAGAACGCTTCGTGAGATCCAACAGTGGCTGTGTGAAAAAAAAAATCAAACAATTGAATAACATTAAAAGGAGAAATAGTTTAGTACAGATCCGATCAATGAACATTTAAAGATAAACTTAATTCTGGTAAAAAAAGAAAATTAATTCTCACAGAATCAAACGAAACTTACACTGAATGTACAAGATTACAAAATAAATGTCATTTGCCAAACAATTTTGGTAGAAAATGTATACTAGCTGAGTAATGAGCATAGAAAGATAAGGAAATCAAGGTAAGTAGCCCTGACACCATTTGTGTAGTCCCATATAATATACATCTTTCTGTGTACAGTGCTTGTTACTTTACCAAGACTGGGCCAAATTTATTATGATTTTGATGACTCCAGAACCTTGCAGTACACACCAATACTTGCATGATACATGATCAATTTTTTCTGATCCATTCCACAACGTTTCTTTCACAATGCAATCGCATGACCAGAACTGGTCTATACCTTTAATTGCATTATAAGGTGAAATAGTTGTGTACAGATCCAATCAATGAATATTTAAATGTATGTGATTCTGCCAAATTTCTGCCAAAGTGGCCATTACACAAAGATAACATAAAATGTATAAAACAAATATAGAGAATACATGTATTATTATCAAAATTATAATTGGTGGTAGTGGTATTAGTGGTGGTAGTGGTGGTGATGTTGGTGGTGGTGATGGTGGTAGTGGTGGTGGTGGTAGTGGAGATGGTGGTGATGGAACTGGTGGTGATGGTGGTGGTGATGGTGGTACTGGTGGTGGTGATGGTGGTGGTGATGGTGGTGTTGGTGATGGTAGTAGTGGTGGTGATGGTGGGGTTGGTGATGGTAGTGGTGGTGGTGGTGGTGGTGGTGGTGATGATGGTGGTGGTGGTAGTGGAGATGGTGGTGGTAATGGTGGAACTGGTGATAGTGGGGTTGTACGTTGGTGGTGGTTGGTAGTAGTGGTAGTAGTGGTGGTGGTGAATTTATACACACCATATGTGTACTTACCTTGAGAGAAAGGAGACTGGAATTTGCCATTAGCTGTCAAGTAGCGCTGAGAATAACCCGCAGCAAAGATCCTCCTCTTCAACAATGCTTTCAGGGTGCCTATAGTAACATAATGATAATACAGTCAAACCTGTCTATAGCGACCGCCCAAGGGAAACACAAAAGTGGTATTTATAGACAGGTGGTCTTTGTAGACAGGTTCCTTTAGTACATGTTCCAATGAGAAACCATTTCAAGGGAAACAAAAAATGTGCTTGTTGTAGACAGGTGGTCACTAAAGCAGGTTTGACTCTCGTAATAATGATGATGATGATGGGGGTAATATTTATATTGATAGCTATATTCATATTTTGCACATAACCATGCCAGGGGATTCCATCACAGTACTACTATTACTTATCTTTAGCCAAGGTCTTAAAGGCATCTAATGAAGTACTTCCTATGTGGAACCCATTTACTACACCAGGGGGGTGTTTCACAAAGATCCTAAGTTGAACTTATCTCTAAGTTGGACTTAAAATTTATGGGAAGCCATTAGCATCCTTGAAAACATTTTGTAATTTTTTTTTTAGAAGGCATAAAATGTTGATTCAAATCTTTCATATTTTCTATTATCATGGGAGATTTCATATTCTTGATGTGGAATTGATGAAAAGTCTAAAATACTTGAATTTCTGCTTTTGAATATATTTCATTTTAAGGCTCCAATGGCTGTCCATACTTTTTAAGTCCAACTTAGTGTTAAGTTCTACTTCGGATCTTTGTGAAACACCCCCTGGGTTGAGGGTGGTCTTTCTAAAGGACATTTAAATGCCATGGCTAGGACATGAACTTTGCGCCATACGATCCATGTCCACTAGACCTCTATGGGGCAGGGGTGATAGTAAGCACTAACAAAATATTTAAACATTCCCCCCTCAACCACGCCACCCTTGAGTAAAAAAATAATAAGAGGATTCAGGGGGAAAATGGCATCTAACAACATTTCCCACCTTTTAAGTAAGAAAAATTGGGAAATAATAGGGGAAAATAGGGAAGAATAGAGAAACTAAGGGGGAAATCTTTTTTTTTTCTTCTTTTTTTTAATAAAAAAAAAAAATCAGGTTCTTATCAGGCAAGGAATCTATGGAAACACAGAGAAGGGAAAGAAAAAGAGAAATAAACGATGTAAATCTTGATTAAAAAAACAGGAGAGAATGAAAACATGGATATTATAAAATCTTACCTCTCATTATCCTCAATTTCTTGTTGAATTGCTTCTGTTCTGATGAATCCCCCATATCATGAAGACTGTAGTGATTACGTCATTAAGGAAATCTATATGTACATGGCTAACTCTTGAACTAAACAATCACTTTAAAGGTAAAGACCAGTTTTGGAAAAGCCCCCCTCTCAAAAAATGAAATGTAAGTTTTTATTACCACTCATGTGAAAGAATATGTTTTGACTAATACGTGATCATACATATTTTGCCGAGAAACCGCCTACTAATTGATATAATTGGTAAATTATTATATCTATTTGGACCTGATAGATACAACGCACGTGTCGTGCGCGTGTGGGGGTAGTCCCATATACATCTTTCTGTGTACAGTGCTTGTAACTTTATTAAGACTGGGCCAAATTTCTTATCATTTTGATGATTTCAGAGCCTTGCAGTACACACCAATACTTATATGCTAGATGATCAACCTTTCCTGATCGATTCCACAACGTTTCTTTCACAATGCAATCGCATGACCAGAACTGGTCTTTATCTTTAACAAGTCATGCAATCAACAGCCATTATCTTGTCTTTTTTTCTTCTTTTTCACTTGATCTGAAAAGGTTTTATTGATCCCTCTATATTCAATATGGCTTTTATTCTAAGAGATTTCACCATTAGAGTCATTATGGTCATATGCAAAATCATTATTGTTGCAGGTTTCATCTTCAAAGCATTCAGTAATATTTTCATGAATATTATAATTAAGATCATTATTATCAATAAGACCACAACCATCATCACCATTATCATCAGCTGCATCATCATCGTCAGTACTACAATTATCCTATCATTATCATCATCATCGTCGTTGTCGTCATCATTATCATCATTATCATCATCGTCGTCGTCATCATCGTCATCATCAGCGTCATCATCTTCCTCATTACTATGATCGACGCCGATTCACACCCAGCAACAGCATCACCATCATGGTCAACAAACTTCAAATGTCAATCAACATCCACATCTTATTCTTAAGCTGCTCTGACAAACCATTGGTTCTGATGTTTCTTCTTGGCGTTCACGTACTCCGGCTTTCAATGTCCCTAGCTAGATTTACCCTAATCATCATTAACCATCATTATTACCTTCACTAATGCCATCACTATCACCATAATCATCATCCTCATCATCATCATAGTCATCCTCATCATCATCATCATCATCATCATCATCATCATCATCCTCATCATCACCTTCATCATCTTTAAAGAGAAGGTTGAGTTCTGGGAAGAGGTGAGAATAATTTGTGAGCGTTATCATTGTATTATGCCAGTGTGGAAGAATATCAGATACAAAATGTTCCCTGAAAAGCATGGCTCTTCAAACGCCTTAATATTTCTAAATATGGCATGTTACATCATAAAAATCTGGACAGAGTTTTATGCCACATGTCGGTGTAGTCCCATATACATCTTTCTGTGTACAGTGCTTGTAACTTTACCAAGACTGGGCCAAATTTCTTATCATTTTGATGATTCCAGAACCTTGCAGTATACACACCAATACTTATATGCTAGATGATCAACCTTTTCTATTTGATTCCACAACGTTTCTTTCACACTGCAATCGCATTGCCAGAACCTTATCTCATCATCAACATCATCATCATCATCTTCATTATCATCGTCATCAACATCAGCCCCCCTCTACATCCTTACGATCATTACTATGACCACACCCGGCAACGAACATCATTCATACATCATCATCGTTGTCAAGGATACTTCAAATGTTCATCCACATCGACGTCCAGCTCCTTGGCCGCTCTGACAAACCAGTCGTTCTGGTGCTTCTTCTTGTTGCTGACGTGCTCCAGCTTGTCAATGTCTCTGGCTAGCTCCACCCTTTCATTCACGGCTTGGTAGTAGCTATGCTCTACAGGGAAGCTGGGAATCTCCTCTGTAAAACAAATCAAAAGAAACCAGTGTTTACAGAGAGCTTGTCAATGTCTCTAGCTAGATCCACCCTTTCATTCACGGCTTGGTAGAAGCTATGCTCTACAGGGAAGCTGGGAATCTCCTCTGTAAAACAAATCAAAAGAAACCAGTGTTTACAGAGAGCTTGTCAATGTCTCTAGCTAGATCCACCCTTTCATTCACGGCTTGGTAGAAGCTATGCTCTACAGGGAAGCTGGGAATCTCCTCTGTAAAACAAATCAAAAGAAACTAGTGTTTACACAGAGCTTGTCAATGTCTCTAGCCAGCTCCACCCTTTCATTCACGGCTTGGTAGTAACTATGCTCTACAGGGAAGCTGGGAATCTCCTCTGTAAAATGAATCAAAGGAAACTGGTGTTTACAGAGAGCTAGATTATATTTTATCCCGCATACTAAGAATCTTGCAATCTGATTGGTCTAAACGAGGTCACATGATCAATGATAGATAAGTACTATCTCCCTGCGATAGGACTTTTGTACCGTAATTTTTTGCTGCTGCCCCACTTGCCCATTGAATAAGCATAACGCGCATAGCAAAGTAGGTTACACGAAATGTCAATGTCAAATTAGTATGCATCGACTTTATCACATGTATGCATGTTGTGCTTTGTAAAATCTAGCTGAAGCTAAACTGTCTGCAGAATCAGTTCTTTTAATTATGTAAAATTCACTTTAAATAGACATTATTGCCGATGTGGGATATAAAACAAATATTAACCTCCTTTACTCGGGCAATGGAAACAAACTATCATCGCCTCGGTGATCTCGGGGCTACCATCATCATGATAGTAGCCCCGAGATCACTTCGGCGATGATAGTTTGTACCATTACCCTTGTAGTCGATTAATATTTGCTTACTATCTCCTTGATAGTATATTTCATCCCATTCAGTGTAAAAGCTCAATTATTGTGCCTAAAACTCCTAAAAATACACAAATTAACTGAACGATTGTTGAAAGGAATTCTTTTGTAGAAAGTTTCCAATCCAAAATCTAATTGGACACTTTTGTTACCTTCAGAACTGATTGGCACCTGCAATTCCAATCATGTGGACTCTTTGTTGCACTATTTTACCTTGAAATGCACTGTGCGCTGATAACGGCTGCTGGAGCTAAAGCTAGGGTAATAATTATGTAATTTATCAGGCTGTAATTTATGTAAATCGCACTGCTATGCCTTACGACAGGAATGGCGCTTTATAAGTGGTACGTCTTTCGAATGGTGACGTTAAAGGCTGGTCCCCAGGCGTAAATAATCATATATGATTGATACACGTCTGCAAAAACCCAATTATACACACACATTATACCTTTCCTTGAGCACCTCAAAATACAGGTTCAGTATGTGTAAATGGGCATTTATTTATTTCATTTTTTATACTTGAGGACAGTACCCAAATCTTGACTAGTTACTAACAATGTGTACCTCTGTTGAGTGTCTTGCATATGGATTCTTTGTTTCACTATATCTTTCTTTGTGTACCTCAAAATACAAGTTCATCATGTGTAAATGGGCATTTCCTTCTTCAATACAAAAATCTTGACTAGTTACTACCAATGTGTACCTCTGTTGAGTGTCTTGCATAGTCTCCTGTAGAAGTTCATCTCATTGGGTGATACCAGGGTCACACTCAGCCCAACCTTGGCCTGTCTAGCTGTACGGCCACTACGGTGAACGTAAGACTATAAATAAAATAGGAAAAAAGATCAAGAAATGGTCAGACTCTTTAATAATAATAATATTCCGCTTTTAAATAGCGCTTAATACGGTGAACGTAAGACTACAAATGAAATAGAAAAAAAGATCAAGAAATGGTCAGACTCTTTAATAATAATAATATTCCGCTTTTATATAGCGCTTAATACAAATGTCTTTAAGCGCTTTACAGATATACTATTACCCCGGTCATTGGATTTGATACTTGCCCGCACACACTGTGTGCACAATCTCCACCCCCTTGGGGAAATACTGTTGAACCTTGGTGTAAATTTAGTGAAATGATCATCTTGCAACACCTAATGGGTGATTTTGGAGGCAAAAAGCAATTTCAAAAATTGAAGTATGCACTAACATATTTATTACCCTTGTTGGTACATCTGTCTGGGAGAATATGCCCTTGGTATTTTTTTCTCTCCCTGAAATAACCCTTGCTTGATATAACTGCAAAAGTTGCCATGAAGTAATAAGAACCTCAGATGAGGATTTCAAGTGATTACCGGGGCAGATAAGTGGTAAACTGGGACCTGTTTTTTTCCATGATGACATCATCAGTGCAATATGCTTCACAATTCTGTATCTTCTAACACAGAGCTCAGTGAATACAAGCAAGACCTTTGTTGCGAGCAGTTTCCATTCATTTACAGTTAAAAATAACAAAAAAGTACAATGGTTTACAGTGTCATATCTGAAAGAGGCATTAACATGATTATAGACGAGAAAACAGATTACAAACTAAAACTCAAGTATAATATTAATAATAATAATACATTTATAGAGCGCAGAAACTATCCAACATTGAGCATATATTCTACTGCACTACAAGAGCTCCTGATATGCTTAGATTTAGAGTTAATTATAAAGATGTGTTTTCAGTTTTTATTTAAAGATAATCACAGATGGTGATTTCCTGACTTCCAATGGTACATTGTAAGTTATTCCAGAGTTTTGGGGCTGCACAAGCAAATGCTCAATCATCTAGCGTTATTTTTGTTTTGATAGATGGGATCTGCAGCAACAAAGTTTCTCGGGAACTGCGCAAGTACGACTCACCTCTGATGTACGAGGTACTTGGTAGTGAATAACATGCTCTATATCTGGTATATCAAGGCCTCTAGCAGCAACATCCGTAGCCAGGAGTAGACCCTTAGGATTCCCTGTGAATCTGGGTGACACGAATGGAGACAACATGAAATATATTCATGCGTTAAATAGTATACAAATATTGACTGCTTTGAGAGGCACAGTTAAAGTGACTCAGAAACATTGCCTCAGATTCAATCATAATTATAAACCTTTAGGTCAGTCAGGAATCCCATGACTTTTACAAGCTGATGGCCTGTCTGATTATCAAAATATTTATGATTGGAAATCAGAATTTCATTTTTTGTTTTCTTAACGTTTTTTATAACACTAGTCTATTGGGGAAAATGAGTATGATAAAACCGGTGACTCAAAGATTTTTTTACTTTTTGAGGCACTTCATGATCATTTTGAAGTGCAATTTTGTTAGGGCTTCAATATTACATCATATCACTGACACTGATAACACGTAGGGGCGTGCATCTCAGATTTAACATTGTTAAACGATGCCTTTAAAATAAAGCTATTGCCCTTGGTGCAGTCTCGAGATCACCTAGTGCTATAGTTTGAATAATTGGGTCCTGGCATTGTATGCGCAAGTAAAACTATGCAGGTCAATATTTTTTTTGCTATACTGCTCAGCAGTCAGTAGCAAATTTCATACATGCAGTTTTGACCAATCAGAGGCCTTGAATATTCATATGCGGGACATAACACAGTATAAACCTTGTACATGTAGTGCAAAAGAAATATAATTCCTATGATTTCATTGCATCTCAAATCATCTCACCAAATAACAAATAGAAACCTGCTTTTTCCCTCCTTGTTCAGAAAAAACTTAAAATCCATGTATACATGCTATTACATTATAGTCACGTACCAGTGATACATAATAGTGGATTCTTGTATAGCGCTCATATCTGTCAGACTTGACACTCCTGACGCTCCCGATTATTACCCTGGCTTTAGCACGGCTGCCATTGCAACGCTCTAGCATTTCAAGGAATCAATTCCTGCCAGGTACCCATTTACCTCACCTGGGTCGAGTGTGGCAAATGAAGATTGATGTCTTGCCAAAGGACATTAGTGACACGGCGGGACTCAAACTGCAGACCTTGTGATCCACAGTCAGGGGACGTATCCACTCGTCCAAGACACCTTTACACAAGACAAGTGCATTTGTTCAGTACATTTCTGGAGTCATTATTTTACATAAGAGTGGTATCACAACTCACCTTTCTAGATTCTTCAGGCGCTGTTTCTGGTGCATGGAGGAATGCAGTGGAAGTGGTTTACAGTCCAGCAGAGTAAGGATGGATGCCAGTCTCCTGATGCAGTCGATGCTGTTGGTGAAGACAAGCGTTCGGCCTGGGTACTGCCTCAGGAAGTAGAACAGGTATATGTCCTGCAAGTAAAACAACAATGCAACATCAATTAACCCATTGCCTCTGGGAACCAGATGGCTCCTGTATTAAAGGTAATATGGTATTAACATGTAGGTAAAAAAAAGTCAGATCCAAATTGGTTTGGACCAAAATACCATGTCAAATATGTGTGTAGTCCCATATACCAGTATTTGTGAGCAGTATTTTTTATGATTACAATAGGAAAAAAGGGTCATACACATGCTCCAGTGACAATTATTCCACGGTCAGCATAAACAATGAAAGAATTCTCAATGCCAACCGTGGACCAAACACTCTCCCTGCAATTTTCCCTAAACCTAATCCTCACTTAAAACCCAACAGTTACCCTTGGCTCAACCCTACATCTGTGACAAAATACAGTATGAAGCAATTGTTATTGTTACTGCAGCAAATGCCAGAGCAACCCCCCCCCAAAAAAAAAAAAATAAATAAATAAATAAATAAATAATAATAATAATAATAATAATAAAAAAAATAAAAAAATAAAAAGTAATAAATAAATACTGGTAATATAAAAAATAAAAAAATTTAAATGGAGAACAAAATATTAATAATAATTATTTAAAAAAATAAAAAAATAAATAAGCGAGATTTCTTCAAAGAAAGTAGAAACAGAAATTACTTTTTCCTCGACTGCGCAAACAATTTTACTCTCCAGCAGTGAAGAAGCTGTACCTTCTCTCTTGGTGAGATCTACAACCTCAGCGTCTTCCTTAATACCAATCTTAGCCATCACAGAATCTAAATAGATAATACAAAAGTATGTCAAAAAGGTTCATACAAATTTAAAGGGGTTGTAGCATGACAAGACTTTCCTGTGGCCGGACTCGGGGCCAATCGGGTATAATACGACTATGGACGATACGACCGCAGTATTCACGTGCGTGCAACATACGCGAAACCAAAGCGTGAGGAGACCTTTGGTCTGTTTCGCGAATGCTGGTGCCACTGACCGTTAATCAAGTTCATTCGTTTACGTGCAGTTGTCCAAAAGAAGTTGTAGATGGCATTAACCAGTATTTGCCATGCTACCCTCCCCTTTAAACTGTTCAAAATCAAGGACATTTCAATGCCAATTGTTATTTGCATGGTTCATACATGTTCGGTACGAAAATGTTATGCATAATACTTGTTAACGCCATCTACAACTTCTTAGAAAGATTTTAGGCATATTTTCATGTAGATTAGTGTCTGGCCAAAGAACATGCAAGGGCTTGAACCCAAGGCCTTCGCATCTATAGTCTCAATATCAAACCACTCCTCTACAGTGTAATTTCCTAAAACTCTGTGCAATACATTTAACTTATTACCATGTGATTATTGTAAATCGATGATGTACTTCTAATGAACAAATTAATCTTTTATCACTCCAAATTTGAGTATTTAATTTGAAAAATAATCTTTTGCAATTTCCCGTCTTGTCTTTAGATGTTTACAATGGTTTTGAATTATCACTAAACTCCTGAAGTTATTTCAACTAGAATTTCAACTGTAATTCTGTACTCTAATTTCTATTTTGTTTTAAATTTATACAAATCTCGATGTTCATTGTAATTGATATGCTAACTTTGTTATTTTGCATGTTTTAATCTGCAAACTATATCACAATTCAGCTATCAACGATGGCAAGGATATATTTTAATAAACCTTGAATTAAATTGAATTGAATTGAATTGAATTGTAAGAGAGTTTAACGACTTTAGTTCTGACGATGATTGTTAAGAGAGAAAAAAAAAGCCTGAAATAAACTCATCAGGGCAAATTATGTGACACCATATTTAAGCATATTTTAGTAGAAATTGAAATTGGTAGAGCTTTCATCTTTGACGAACCTAGCTTATCTTTCTTGTCTTGCTTGTAGGCCTTCTTCAATGATTTCCTGAGTGGACCAAGATGGATCAGACTTAGCGTCGCTGAGAACACAAAGGTTTGTCTGGATGACCTCTGCTCAGAGCTGGATAGAAAAATCAGGCCAAAAAGAAAGAAGAAACTAGATGGAATTTTGACTGCGCGCAGTCGAAAATGATGCCTCCGCCATAGAGCAATTTAAACAAGTTTGGAGTTTAAATCTCCAGTGGTTCTTGAGATATCATGATAACAATCTCAATGTATGGAATTTCATAAGTTGACCTCTGTGACCCTTGACCTTTGACCTACGTGCTCCAAAATCTAATCAGATTGTCTTCCTATGGTGATACACACTATCATTAAGTTTGAAGTTTAAATCTCCAGTGGTTCTTGAGATATTATGATATGGTGATACATACTATCATTAAGTTTGAAGTGAAAATTCTCCAGTGGTTCTTGAGATATCGCGATAACGATCTCAATGTATGGAATTTCAAAAGTTGACCTCTGTGACCCTTGACCTTTGACCTACGTGCTCCAAAATCTAATCAGATTGTCTTCCTATGGTGATACACACTATCATTAAGTTTGAAGTTAAAATCTCCAGTGGTTCTTGAGATATTATGATAACAATCTCAATGTATGGAATTTCATAAGTTGACCTCTGTGACCCTTGACCTTTGACCTACGTGCTCCAAAATCTAATCAGATCGTCTTCCTATGGTGATACATACTATCCTTAAGTTTGAAGTTTAAATCTCAAATGGTTCTTGAGATATCGTGCTAACAAACTCAATACAAGGAATTTCATAAGTTGACCTCTGTGACCTGTGACCTTTGACCTACGTACTCCAAAATCTAATCAGATCGTCTTCCTATGGTGATAAATACTATTCCCGAGTCTTAAGTTTAAATCTTAAATGGTTCTTGAGATATTGTGATAACGGTCAAACGGGATGGACGGACAACCCGAAAACATGATGCCCCCGGCACCACCTTCGGTGGCGGAGGCATAAAAAAGAAAAGAACACAGTGTCAAATACTTGCTACTATGTGGGATATGTATTTCCAAACCAAAATAAACAAGACAGCTCACTTGTGATTTGTTCCTTAAAGGTACTTAGTAACATTGTGATGATTGATTTCACAAATCTGTTGAATCAGGATGCAAAACACGTAAAATTATGTTTGTATGTATGGATTATCCAACTACGATGCCCCAAATCCGAAATTAATTTACGCAATATGAAGATTTTTAACAAAGTTCAACGGGTTTTCGAACGGGCGTCGATGTGCGGTGCTTCTGAATCTAAATTCTCCCAACCATTTTTTGAATTTTCCCAACCGTTTTTCCATGAAAAAAAGACATAAAAACAGGCTGTAAAAATCTGTCAACACTTAAATGTCTGGAATGGAATGTAGAGCCATTTTATTGCTTTGTGAGATTTCCATTCACCTAAAGTGTAATTAAATTGTAATAATATAGTTGGGAGAATTAAGGAATAGATCGGATCAGTTTTTCCCAATTTGTACCATGAATAATGTTCCGTTTTCGCTCAAATTTTCAGATTATCTTTAATTGTACATCTAGCATTGAAGTCACTGCCTTAGCACCACTATCTCTCATCTGAAGAATGTTACACAGTCCCTTTAAGATGTTTGTTGATCACACCCCAGTCACACAACCACATCATCACCAAACGGAATCTAAACTGACCGATAACTGACAAGGGTCATTTGAACTGATATCAAACTTTCTCTGCTGGCACACTAGATAAAAAATGCAGTGTGCCTTGTAGCGTACACAGGTGGCCTCCATTGATAAGCCTCATCTAGGATCAGATGCTGGATGTCAATATAGTTGACCACTATAAGCAGGTTGACCTATAAATAGTTGACCTATAAAAAGTTGACCACTATAGAGAGGGGGTCCCTATGGTAGGTTTGATTGTAACTTCTTTCAGTCTCCATCTCTCACGTGTTTAAAATGTCTAATATCTCAGAGAGTTCAGCGTAGTGACCCTTCTCCACCATTCGATCAGCCTCATCGATGATGAGACACGGGATGTCAATACAAGTGACCACTATACACAGTTGGCCTTAATAGAGAGGTTATACCTATTACATTTGATTAAATGTACTTTCAATACCAATTACTCACGTGTTTAAAATGTCTAATATCTCGGAGAGCTCAGCGTAGTGACCCTTCTCCACCATACGATCAGCCTCATCAATAATCAGACACTTGACGTCAGGCAGGCTGGCAAGGTGAGGCTCACCCTGCGGGAGAGACAGACAGAGGACAGGTGTGGGAGAAAGGAGAGGGGGGGGGAAGAGGTCAGTTTAGTTATAAAATGCTCTTTTTTATATCATTGAGCTAATCCAAAAGCTCTTCCTAAAGCTTTGACAGGTTCATAAGATCAGACAAGCAGTTTGCACAGGTCTTGTATTTTCTAAATATAATTTTTTGTAATTGTTTATTTGTGACGTGAAATTTAAAGTTTGGAATCGCCATCTTTGCACTCTCATTTCTTTACAGCAAATGCCGGTATGCGAAGAAACTATTTGTTTGAGAAAAATTCAGTAGACGAGTTTTACTTTTAAATATTCTTTGATCATTCAGCTCTGTATACTTATACTGCTCCTGTGAATATGAGCCTGTATTCATAAAGATTCATGGGGCACATTATTCCTGTAAACTTTCATCTCATTTAAAGCGGGACTGCACTACTTGTGGCTACATTTCTATATAGCAAACGATGCCTAAGCGGTACCTGTTGGTCCCCCATGATCCCCTTTTTCTTGTGTTAATTGAGAGCTGATTTGATGAGATAACCACCTGTCAGTGACCATGCATGGAAGTCTAATCCAGAGCTGCCAACCTCTGAAACCAAAATCAGTAATCTGAAAGCTAAAAATCAGTAATTTTGGATGGAAATCAGTAATTTCAAGCGCGGCGCTTTCAACATCAAGAAGACTGCATTTGCACGTACATTGTAGAGCTGCACACAACACCACAACACAAACTACTAGTACCATGGTAATAGCATCACTCTGAATGACAGGACTTGAAGTAAAAACAAGAACATTCTGTTTATAACATCATTTTAAGTGCTATAAAAAAAACAATGGTTATTAGAGGATTGATGTATCATTACCCTGTTTCACTTACGTGTGTATATTCACTTCAGGTTTTTACAATTGCAATTTTACTGTCAGGGAAGGCATTTTTGACAAGTTGTGAAAGGTGGTCTGTTGCTGAAAACGCGATGTTGTGCTCTATCAAAAATTGAGTAAACTTCACTTCGGCGTTCGTGACAGAATTGTCCTTTGCGACGAAAAACTGGGCGATGTCATGACTGCGGGAATTGGAACTTGCCTCCGCCGCTGCAGTCCGGTGCTTCACCGACTTCAGATGTACCTGGATATCGTTCGAACCGCCATGACCAATTCCAAAATCGGATGAGCAATGTGTACAACAGGCACTGTTTGTATTCCTTTTCGACGGAACAATGCATGACCATTTCACCTGAGAAGGTTTGCAGTTTTTTAGAACGCTTCTTCGATGAAGTTGAAGTCATTTTTCTCCGTCGGTTACTCGAAGTTTGACGCGACCACGGCCGACCTGCTGCACATGCGGTAGTGTAACACTCGGCCAATGCATATTTCGCCCAGATAAATATCGTGCCACTTGTTTCAGCACATCCACCATGCATGCGCTTTCGTATCGGTCAAAACTTTGTGTGTCAGCTCATTCAAAATTTATTCGTGTATCATATTTTTTTATCAACAATGAAAAGGGGTATATGAATAAAATGAAATGAATAAACATGATCCAACAAATAATGTGAAATAAAACACAATGACAATAATTGTTGAATATAAATTCAAGTTTAATCAAGGAAGTACATTCATTTTCCTTATGACAATTATCATCATCATCATCATCATCATCATCATCATCATCATCTTCATCATTAGTCGAGTCGTACTTTTATTATCATAACAATGAGAACCCATCACTAAGGGGAAAAAAATTGTAGACCTGCTATAAACTACACATGGACATGGTACCGTACGGGTTGGTTTGCAAGGTGGCTAAATGGACTTGTGACGAGTTTGCCGTCTCCCCGATATATATTGCATGCTGAAAGCTAGCACATGCACACGCAGCCCATATAGGCAGGGCGGTGTGCATATCTTTCGATGGTAGCTACATGTGTGTGCAGTGGTCGTGGCTGAGGCGCGGATGATATTTCCGTGCGCTCAAAAGTTAACCACCGGGCCGAGGCGCTGGCCCGGGAAGTATCGCGATCATTACCGCTAAAACACTCGCATATGCATAATGCATGTGTTAATACATAGGCATGTCCAGAAATCGGGGAATCCGTAATTTTGAAGGGGTTTCCGTGCTTCCGTAATTGCCGTTGATTTCCGTACCAATTACGGAAAATCCGTACTAGTTGGCAGCTCTGCTAATCCCTCCTGGCTAAACTAGTGCAGACAGGCTTTAAAAAGAAACATTTCATACAACAAACCTATGACAATGCCCTATTCAATTTTTTTCTTCTTCACAGACTGGTACCTATCTTAGGGGGTTGGGGGAGTTCACCTGGACATAACTTACCAATTGGTAGAGCTCCCATAACCTTCCTGGCGTACCCACAATGATGTCTGGTCTTTTCTTCAGGACCCTCTTCTGTTTCTCTGCCGACATCCCTCCAACAACCACAGCAACCTGGATGAAATCAAGTAAAAAAAAATTAACACTTACATCGTCGATAAGTTTGCAAAAATGTATCACAAATAAGATGACATGAGACTTATTTGTAGCAATCGTGAATTATGTTGTCATTTTCCATCATAAACTCAATGTTCTATGGTTTCAATTGTAAAACTAAGAGAATGTTTTGATGATTTCAAAAGAAAGAAAAGTCTCTCTTGGTCAAAATGCTTTATGCATTGTGTGAATCTGGGCAGTTAAAATCCACCTACAGCAATTAAAGTGTTAGCCTCACAAATTGATGGATCTTTTGGCTCCTTAAAGTACTATCTATTGTAAATAACTTTTTAAAGACAAGCATAATTGTAAAATCTATAACTTTTTGTTACTTTAATTAAAATCAATGATCCAAATTTCACAATTTTGTTTTTGTTTTGATCCTGCCATAATTCAAGTAACAAATTACGTTTCTGACCTTGATATTTGTCATTTTGGCTGCAGCGACCAGATGGTTCTTGACCTGCACTGCCAGCTCCCTGGTAGGCGTCAGGACCAGTCCAAAGAGTTTCTTCTCCTGGTCAAGCCCACCGGCTGGAGTGCTGGTCAACGGTAGTCCAGCCTTCAACCAGTCCTCATCCGCAATGTTATCCACAACATCGACGCACTTCATTTGCGTCTTTAGCCTCTGCATGTCTACCTGTTCTCCATCATCATCATCATCACTGTCATCATCCTCAACATCATCATCACTGTCATCGATGTCATCGTCGAAGTCAACATCATCCTCGATGTCATCGCCAATGAGGTCATTATCACCTTCATTTGCTTCCATGCCAGTCATCATGCTAGGATCCTCCCCAACCCTCTCATCGTCCTCCATCCCTCCCTCGTCATCTTGCTCGCTACCCTCATCTTTCACTTCACCTTCCAATCCGTCTTGTCCACTCTCGTCTTCAGTCGGGTCCGCCTTGGCTACCGATGTCGATCCTGAAGCAAGTGCTGCTTCATGTTGCAGTATCCTGTATATCAGCGGTATCCCAAAGGCCAATGTCTTTCCACTCCCCTGCAAAAGAGAACAAGAAACGCAATTAATCCCATAGCATGTATAGTGTTGCATTTCACATGTTGTTAAAGATAAAGTGGAGTTCTGGTCATGCGATTGCATTATGAAAGACACGTTGTGGAATCGATCAGAAAAGGTTAATCGCCTAGCATATTTGGTGTGTACTGCAAGGTTCTGGAATCATCAAAATGATAAAAAATTTGGCCCAGTCTTGGTAAAGTTACAAGTACTGTATACATACATAAAGATGTAATATGGGATTACACAAACATGTGGCATAGAATTCTGTCCTGATTTTTATGATGTTACATGCCATATTCAGAATATTAAGGCATTTGAAGAGCCATGCTCTTCAGGGAACATTTTTTTATCTGATGTTCTTCCACACTTGCATAATACAATCATAACACTCACATATTTTTGTTCACCTCTTACCAGAACTCAACCTTCTCTTTAAGCAACCACAAGAAGAAAAAAAGGCGGTTGCACATTTTGCAGGCATACAGCATAAATTTTCATGAACTCTGTTAAAACAGAAAATACTTGTACTGAATAATCGCTTGCGTAAACAAAAAAATAATTTCCTATCCATGGGTTTTACCGCATATTATCAATTTACTTTTCCATATTTTGTATTTTCTAGCCACAACTCTTTTCATCTCAAAAGTGCTATTTTGAGCTTTCAAAAACTACAGTACTCACAGCTCCAACATTTATTTTGTCATGTTTTTTTCTCCAGCTAGTTGGATCTTAGTGAACTTTAGGATACCAAGCGCTAATGTAACTGCATGGCTTTTTCTCCCCTTTCTCCTTAAGACCCCTTTCCGACAATAAAACCTTCGGAGAGGACCTAAAGCCGTTGGTCCTCTGGTTGCTTACTGACAAGCATTTAAGCTTTCTTAGCAGTCAGGTAAAATGACCGCCACCCCGACCACCAGTTACAAAATACTTACCGTTTCTGCAGCTCCTACTATATCCTTGCCTTCGTTGATAGCAGCAGGTATGCAGCCGGCTTGGATGGGGGTGGGGCTGGCGAACCCCATGGTCTCCAATGACTGATGCACCACGGTGGGGATAGATAGGGTGTCCCAAGTCGACATGGAAACTTCTAGATTCAAATGAAAGAAAGAAAGTAAGATTTCAATTATTCCACCTTATGTTGAGACATGATATCAGAAAAATTTCTGCTGCATCATGTATTTTTCAACTACATGTATATTATGTTTATTATAAAGAAAATCCCTGTTTATCTTCAAAACTTCATCAGTACTGCCAGCCTCCTTTGTTGAGAAACTACACATACATGTAGGTCCTCTACAATTTTCTGGATTGATTTAGGAATGGATTGCATACTATAGATAAAAGAATTTTTTTTCCTAAAAACTGATATGTTCAGACATTATAATCAGCAATAAATTTAAGCATGAAATGTTGCTGAAAAGTGATATACTTCAGGAAAAAGCCCTGGTCGTATTAAAAACTGCAAACACCTTGCCTCTTTCCCTCATTCCCAAAACAGATACTCTTTCAAGTCTCACCAGCCCCTTTAATTAGACAATGACGAGGAGACATCATTGTATGTCTTCAATGATGTACATGTAATAGTGTGGATCGGATTGCGATTGAAATCAATTGGATACTCTGAATAAAAGTACAATCATAAATAATGCTCTAGTAAAAAATAGAAGAAAATAAAAAGACATGCAGAAGAGATGGATGGATTGTCCTTTTCATGCAAAGCTCATGATAACAAGTTAACACTCACCAGAACTGATTTTCTCTCCTGCTGTATCTTCACCGGATTCATCCAGACTGTCCTTGGGATCTGTCTTCTCTGCTTCTGTCTTCTCTGCTTCTGCTTCTCTCTCCTGTTCCTCTCTCTCCTGCTCACTCTTCCTCCTCTTCCTTTTAGCTCTCATTTCTCGAAGTTTTGTTTCCCTGACTTTCTCTTCCTAATTCTTGACTTTCCAGGACTCGCTTCAAGTTCAACCTCCTTACTCTGCAAAGTGTCTTTCATATCCTTGCCTTTACTTTGAGCAGATTGCTCTTTAGTCCTTGTCTTCATATCAGCAGATTTATCTTGTTTTTCTTTTGAAAGAATGTTTTTCTCAGGATTCTCAGGGTTCTCGGGGCTCTTGGGGTTAGGATCATCTACACCTTTCTTTTCTTTCTTTTTATCACCTTTTGTCTTCTTTTTGACCGTTTCTTTGCTGGGTAGGGTTTTCTTTTTATCTTGTAGTTTCTTAGATGATTTGGACCCCTGTTGAGAAATGAAGAGCAAGATCGGATACAATGACACAGAGCATCAAGTGATTTTAGTTGTTGCAACCCACAAGGTGCCACCAAGTTTAATCAATTAGAGCTCAATTTTATGTTTTCAATGTCCATCTGATAAACAAGAATGTCTAAAACTTTTATTTTCAATTTTAAGAAAAAAAGCATGCTTTGTTGTTTAGATAGAATATTACAATTTTAGTAAATAATTCAAGCAGACTGCACCTACAGCACAATAATTATTCCTATGGTTTGTGGATAATTTTGAGCGAGGTCTATCATAAGAAAAAAAAGCTTAAGTTTACATTATGAGGGGAAGAGAGGGAGGGAAAGAGAGGGAGGGAAAGAGAGGGAGGGGAAGAGAGGGAGGGGAGGGAAGGAGGGGGAAGGATCGAGGGGGAAGGAGGGGGAAGGATCGAGGGGAAGAAGGGAGGGGGAAGGATCGAGGGGAGGATGGGGAAAGAGGGGAGGAGAGGGAAAGAGGGGAGGAGGGGGAAAGAGGGGAGGAGGGGGAAAGAGGGGAGGAGGGGGAAAGAGGGGAGGAGGGGGAAAGAGGGGAGGAGGGAGGAGGGGGAAAGAGGGGAGGAGGGGGGAGAGGGAAGGGGGAGGATCAAGAAGGGGAGGAGAAGGAAAAGAGGAGAAAAAAAAGGAGAAATGAGAAGAGAGGGAGAAAATGAGAAGAGGAGAGAGGGTGAGGTGAGGAGAAGGAGAAGGAGAAAAAGAACTAAAAAAAGAGAAGAGAAGAGAAGAAGAGAAGAGAAGAGAAGAGGAGAAAAGAGGGAGGAGAAAAGAGGGAGAAGGAAAAGGGGAGAAGAAAAGGGGAGAAGGAAAAGGGGAGAAGGAAAAGGGGAGAAGAAAAATGGGGAGAAGAAAAATGGGGAGAAGGAAAAGAGGGAGAAGAAAACAAATTCAAAAAGATGGAGGAGAATGAGGAGGAGAATAATAATAAGAACTTGGAATAGGGAGGCCAATGCCCAAATCTAACTTTTTAATTACTAATTTGTTTATACTAAAACTAAGATTAAAAGAAAGCATTTACTTTCACTAAGAAAATCCACCCATCTGCCGACTCAAGAAGTTCCATCAAATAGGAGATATCCAGCTCTTTTTATCCAGCTTCCTTCTACGCCTTTCCGTACGTAAAAGCCTTGAAACAATTATATTTCATGTCGCAAAGTTACGTTCATAATTAGACAGGCCTGAGGGACAAAGTTCATGACGAAGTTTAAAACTTCGCGCGAAAGTGCAATCACTCAACAGCGGCTAGCCTTGAATCGGTCGCACACGTACACACCTTCTTCTTCTTAGTTGATCCCTCCACCGACACAGGCAAGCCCCGATGCAGGCTGAAGTCCAGCCATCAATGTGCGAACGATTACATCTTCTACTACTACGAGCCGAAGACGATGGTTCAAAAATGAAGAATAGATATCAAAATTGGCAGGAAAGAAATATATGTAATTCATTGATATTTACCTTAGATGTGTATTCCAATAATTTGATTTCCTCATGAGTATTCCTTATTATCAACGATCGAGAAGTTACGAGGTCCAATTAACATCCATCTTGCAGCGAACACAATCATAGCGCACATCCATGCATGCAACGTACGTGTACTAATATTTCTCTCACTCTCTCTCTCTCTCTCTCTCCCTTTCGCTATACGTAACATACACACTCACTAACCATGTATCATACAACACACACCTTCAAATCATGGCTTTCATTTCAATTCTCAATTGGAGTATAGACTGCTCACGTAGACTTTTTTTTTACTGAAATATCTTTTTTAACACTTCTCATACATTACTGCACGACACTCGTATCTAGTGCTGTGAGAATAAGGTACTAGGGTCTATAAATAAGACTAGGCTTTGCGCACGATCTGACCGGAGCTCAGATTATGTCGCAATACCCTTTATTTTTGGCGCGAACAATGACGTCACTGTTCACTGTTTTCCTTCTCATTTTGAGATGGATGTAGCTATAGGGCTCAAACCAACGCAAGATTGACAGAAACATCGTACTCTATCTACTTTCGAATGTTCAGTTTGTAAAAATCTGTATTTAAAAAGATATAATCTTTTTTCTTTATATTTTCTAGTTGTTAGAAGTGGCAATTGTGAACATCTGAAATGTTGATCTCTATCAAAAGTTCTTTACTCAAAACGGATCCCATATTTTTAGGGTCTACCTTCTGCCAATGAGAAGGTTTTTAGTGAGCAAACCTCTACGCCCTCTAGGATTTTCTTAGTCGGTGGTGCGAGTGCGTCAAGGTCGTCTGCAACCACAATTATCGGATTAAAAAACGTCAAAATCTGCAAGATTGTCAACAAATGGTGAAAGACTGTTACAGATCCGTGATTATAGGTATGTTGTGAAATGTATAATTGTATTTTCTTTTCTTATTTTCTTCAATTTTTATTTTTACATCATTTTTTTCCCTTTGCTAATTTTTTGAAGTGGGCGACGAGCGCACAAATCGTAGGTGTAGAAGCCTTACGCCCGGGCATTGGCCTCCCTACTTGGAAGAAAGAAAGCAGAATAAATGATCCATATTTAGATCTATAATTATTGTTATCACTTTTTGTCTGCATTAATTATACGTTATATAACACTGCATTAGACCTCTTCGGATCTATCTACATGTACGTGCACGCACTTCGCATTCACACAAGTCACAAGTTCTATTATGAACGAACATGCTTACCTTCCCCATAGTCCCACTCATTTGTTTCTTCAGCAGGTTTGGATCGTAATCAGTTAGAATCTCAATTCCCACGAATCCACCCATTTCCTTATCGGCAAATGCAGACATATCCACTTCAAATGGCTTCCACTTCTGATCGAGCAAACTACTAGGCTGTTTTTGTGATTCTCTCTTCATTTTAGTGAATTTCTTCAAGCGCTCTCGACGCTTCACGTGTCGCATGGAAGTCGCCATTTTGGTTTGTCAACCTCGTCTCAAGAATCGCGAACACACATGGCCTATGGGGGAGGGGTCCACTGACGGAGGGGTCACGTACTGTACATGACCCAAAATATTTGACAAGCTCTTACAATTTATAGTTTTAATGGGAAAATGCTATCATTATTTTCAAGCTGTATGACATTTCCCGTCAGATAGCACCAAATAAAAAAATGAATGAAAACAATAAAAGAGTTGGGAAAACGTTTTTTTTTTTTTTTTGGGGGGGGGGGGGGAATTATAATCTTGGTGCCTCTTCGGGGAATAGAATTATGCTTTTTGTATCCCATCCGCCTCGGATTTCAATGCAACTTAGGCTCACAATAGTGCCAGGATGAAGAGATAGAGAAAGAGAAAGAGAGAGAGAGATAAGGAGAGAGACAGAGAGAGAGGGAGAGAGAGAGAGGGGGGGGGGGGGAGGAGGAGGAGAGAGACAGCATGCAAACAGACATATTATGGTCGATTGGTATTAAATTAGGACAAACTGATGAACAATTTCATAAAAAAACAAAAAATGTTTCAATACATGTATAGAATATCTACTCAAGACAGATCACCACTTGCAGGAGAAAAAATACACATACACTTTATACAATGTATTTAATATATTTTATAAAAATGAAGGAGCAAATGAATATATGGGATAAATATTCAACACATTGCAATTAAGAGAATAAAAATCATATATAACTCTAAAAATATCATCAGATAGTAAAGCATTTGTTATAACATACATCTCTTATGTACTGGTGATGCAAGTTCAAAAGAAAGAATTCAACTAAAGCCTACAAATAATGGTACATTTCACACATTATTACATATAAATATAGCACTGAAAAATAGTAAAAATTAAGGATTTGTTCTCATCCTTACCAAAGTAAAACAAAATGAACAAATTTATAGAGCTGAAACTTATCGATACAACCAGTTACGGGAAGACGAAAGTATGTGAAAAGTCATAATTCAGAGCAATTTGTTCTTCTATAAGAAACAGAAGAATATCTACATTTTTTTGTTCTTCCTAATCTCAATACTAAGTGGTGAGGGGGGGGGGGGACCTTTGCTGTGGAATGCTCTCCTTTGAGAGGTTCATAATAGGGCAATTCCACGGTAACGGAAGGACACTCAGACAAGATTTTTGAACTTCAGGTTCATACTAAAAGAAATGTTTTATTAGTATGTATTAAACTATGGGGAACAAAATGTGTTTCAGTCAAGTGGAAAGCTTCATCAACTTCACAAAGTTTGGATAAACACTAATTAACTGGAAAAACCATGTCCATTTTTATGTCCTTCCGTTACCGAGATAATTAAAATGCACATTCTTAAACTACTTAACTATAATGACAATTTTTTGGGGGAGAATTAAAGGCACTTATATAGGTATTATATCTGTACTGTTTCACATCTTATACTAATAAAACAGTTCTTTTAGTATGAACCTGAAGTTCAAAAATCTTGTCTGAGTGTCCTTCCGTTACCGTGGAATTGCCCAATAGTAGATTAGTTGAATTAAGTGTTTAAAAAAAAAATGATTTGTTTAATTCAGCATATAATAAATTGCCCTGACATTTTTGTATGTTCTATTATGTTACTTTGCTTATAATGCTGATGCTTTAATATGTGATCTCTTTTTTTTTTTTTTTCACAAGTGCACATGAGCATTTGATTTCAAGTGGATTTGACACTTTACAAATCTCATATATCATCATTATTATTATTATTTCATACTGCCCTTAAATATCCATCAAAGACGATTTCCAAAGACACCAAATTATACAAAGTGCAACTATTACCATGGCATCAACCAAGCCCCTTAGCTGCTGTCATCAAAATAATGCATCTCCTTGGAACTTTTCAAGCAGAAGGTTCAACACATTATAAGCTCTGCTAATTAAAGCTTCAGCCTTCTTTTTTAAAGCTGCACATAGAGTTCATGTAGGAAGCGTCCACAAGTTAGGACAAGCACAAGGTACAAAATTACGCCAACAATGGAAAAAGAAGAAGCTGCATAAGAGGTGTTTGCAGCATTCACAAAATTATACCTCACTATAGGTAACCATTTTCTACACCTTGGTTGAGAGTGGCAAATGTTAAATAAATTTCAATTTTCAGTTAAGTTTTATTTGATATTTGCTAATTTCTATGTCATTCCTGTGATTTTACCTTGCCAAATATACAACAAGTTTTGGAAGTACCATTCTACATTTAGTTCAGCTGAATCTCAGCTGAACTCATAGCACACATCACACAATCAAATGCCCTTAAACTTTGTAATATTCATAATGGAGTCTATTTACAAAGGGGGAGGGATTCACACACATTAGCAAATTATACACTACCTGTCTATAGTGCAAGCAAGAAAAGCAATAAATTGCAAATTTTAAAATGTCGCACAAAGAGCCATACTTAACGTGTATTCTTACCTATTAGAATATTCAGACAAAATTAATTTAATTGTCAAAAACTACTTCAACAATTAATTTTAATTAAAAAAACCATACTTGTATTCTTACCTATCAGAATATTCTGAAGAAAAAAAAAAATCAATTTAATTGTTAAAATACATCAACAATTAATTTTAATGTAACATTCTCAGGGCGATTCGGAGCTAATTCTCCTGTATGACATCCATCTTTTTTTATATTCATTTCCTCTAAAATGGAATATATTTTGAAAATAACCATCTCATATCGTTAGTTTTACCAGGAAAAAACATTTACCACTGGTGATATCAAGGAATATCAATTTTTGGATGTAATAAGATCAATGACTATTATATGTCGTACAAGACACATTGCACAGAATCGCCCTTCAGCACATCAAGCAACTACCGGTAAGCAGTAATACAAATTAAACATGCACAATACACACTCACACACATCTTTATAAAAGGCTACAGTCTATCATTTGTACCATACATCTTTATGCAACAATGTTTCAAGTAGAAAAAAAAAAATTATATTTTTACATTTCTTACAGCAGAGTATGATAATATTGCTAAAGAGGTACACTCTTGTGAAAAGTGAAATTATATTCATAATATACATAAATAAATATATAAATAGTGACAAAAAGCATGTGAATGCATTGGAAAATTTAAAATATTAAAAAAACAAAATAACATTATACATGTAAAAAGACATAGTTTTCCCCTAAACTCCCTCCTTTCACGTATTTAAGATGAATTAATATAAATTGTCAATTGCTCTGTCATATAAAGAGTTGCAGTTGATCAAAATCAATGGCAAGGCCTCCAATCAATCGCAAGTTTCCAGTCTCCTATCTCTTATGTACATAGCTAGCTGCCATTGATATAGCTGAGATTAATATCAAATCTTTATAAGACGGGGCCCGTATTGAAAATGCATGATTTCACTGTTGGAGGCAAGAGAAGGCAGATTATCAGAAAACTGAAAATTTGTGCAATTACTACCTTAGTATTTTGATCCTTTTAAGTCATTGCCAGTACGTTTATGTTAGCATATTTTAACCATGCCTAACATACTATTTTCAAATGTTATGCATACGTTTTAAACAAAGGTTGTTCTAGACAAGCAAGTCGTAAAAAAACACACGATACCTTACCCCCCCCCCCCCCTAAATTTAAACCAGATTTACATAGATCTCAGGGACTATCCATTTTTGGAAGAAAGAAAATATATATATTTAAAGAATTAAAAAAAAAAGGGAAAAAAATTAAAAATCAGGAAACCAATTTAAATTTGGAATATCATCAGGCTGGATAGGAACGTTTCTTTTAACAATGAACTGTTAAAATCATGTGACAGAATGCATATTGCGTACAGCACCCACGCTCCAGACATGTGGTGTACATGGTAAAATCTGTTAGCTACACAAAAATAGGGTAATCGTAATTTTGTTAGACACAGATTTGTTATATTCTGATCGGGGCCGCTGCTGAATTTTGATTACCAGCAGACAACTCTGTTACTTTTTGTGTCTCCTGAAGAAATAAGCTGATTGTCGAGTTCTCATCTCAAGATTTATTTACTTTGTATGAATCCCATGGCAAAAGTTTGAATCTTGTAATGCAGTCTGAAAAGAGAAAAAATAAAATGAAACCAGCAAAGAAGAGATTATTGCATTATGTTTGCCAGGTCTGTGTTTCAACATATTCTCAACTGATCAATTTATAGACACACATACCTTAATTAATTCTGATGTTATATACAAGGTTTTTACAAGCATTATGAAATATTGTACTCATGAGCATACTTTAATTTATTTCATAATGTGATAATTGATTGTATCACATTGTTATTCATATACATATGTATTATATATCAGACTTGACAGTTTCTTCGACTTTGTGTACATTATTGCTACTATTGTTATTTGTATTTGTATTTGAAAAGAAAGAAATAATAATAAACATAACCAGACTTCTTTTGCAATATTTTTTCTTGGACTAAATACAAGGGTTAAGTCCTTCATTATTCTAAGATAATTTACATTTTCAAATACATGTAATGAAAGGGAATTTTTTCAAAAGCAAACACAGAAGATTACAGTCTGGATACTTCAAACAAGGATATGTATCACTATTAAGAATGGAAAAAACCTTTTTTTTAATGAGCTTCTAAAGACCCAAGGTGTACATTAGTCTGTTCTACATGTTTTCACTCATTATGCAATATTTGTTATTTTCATCATTTCCTTTAGGAGTTTTTAGATACAGGTGTTATGTTCATAGATTAATTATATCATTTGATATGGCCTAGTCATTCAATTAAGATACGATACTCAAAAAGAAAAGAAAATCTTTCTACACTTGCCAGTTCAATAACACCTACATACATGAATATTTAGAAATAAGAATAAGAATTTTAGGAGCTGGCCTTTGGGTGTGTAATGACATCAAATGACTACAAAGTAAGAGATCTAATTGAACTACCGTAATTAACGTTGTATAAACTGCCCTCGTGTATTAACAGCACCCCTCTTTCTCGCCCTAAAAAAAAAAAAAAAAAAAAAAAAAAAAAATTGCCAATTTTTTTATGCCGACTTCAAAAACAGTAGAGGACCTAGGATAAAACCTTGTGGTACGCCGTGTAATAGAAGCAAAATTGGAGAAATTATTATTATAAACTACATATTGAAATCTATCAGAAAGATTACTTTCAAACCAAGATGACAGACAAATTTGAGTGTTGTTCAAGTTTCTGAGTGGTGAGTCAAAACACAGATTACTGAGCTGGGAGACATTGCCAGGCATAGTGCCAGGTGGCGGGGGCATAAATCAAAACTTTAATTTTTTTTTTTTTTTGGTGTACCGTGTATAAACCACACCCTAACTTTGAATTTTTTTTGGCGGCAAAAAAAGGTGTGGTTAATACACCGTTAATTACGATACATACATCGTGCAATCTTGTTTATAAAGGAGGATTTTGGTTCAAAGAGTGATTTATTAACCCAACCATCTCAAAGACAGTAAAGCACAGTCAAATAGCTTACCCAGAATCCATCTCTCAGCTACGACTGGTGTTGATCCCTTCTTTCCCCTACCACTGCCTCCAACACACAGCTTAGCATCTGAAACCTTCCTGGAGATGTGACCACCACACAACTCTACAAGCTCCAACAATCTCTCCCTCGGAGGATTGCTCTCCGGCGGAATATAGAGGGCGGCGCACGAGGAGAAAATATCCACTGGAGATGTCTCTGTGTCAGCATTTGCCCCGTGTGCTAGCCTTGATATCTGTTGATTTATCATGGGGAAAAAGTGTGGTTTGGTATGCTGTGATCAGTTCTTGTATTTTTGAAGAGTAGATTAAATGCAGCAATTGTGGCATTGTGATAATAAAGGCTGTATGCCATAGGAATCAATCATTCTAACATTTTCTGTCCCTCGTGATCCAGTGGTTGCTATAATTTCTATCATTATTTTAAAATCTACCGTTTTCCTTTACCTGGTTGTCAAATATAATTGTAATAGCAACATAGTAAAAGTCCCTCACTTTTCTTCAAGTTCAAATATCAATGACATTTAAATGCTCTCATAAGAATTGCAAATTACATTTCATTTAGGTACATGAACATATTGAGTGTTATTTGACTTATTTCAAAAGGTTTCTTCCATTATCATTAAAGGTAAAGACCAGTATTGGAAGCGCCCCAATTTCAAAAAATGAAATGGAAGCTCTCATTACCAATCATGTGAAAGAATATGTTTTGACTAATACATGATGATAAAAAATTTGCCGGAAAACCGCCTACTAATTCATATATTTGGTAAATTTGTTTCTCTCATGGTCTGTGAGAGATATAGGGTAGTCCCATATACATCTTTCTGTGTATAGTGCTTGTAACTTTATGAAGAATGGGTCGAATTTCTAATCATTTTGATGACTCCAGAACCTTGCAGATGCTAGATGCTAGATGATCAACCTTTTCTGATCGATTCCAAAACATTCACAATGCAATCGCATGACCATAACTGGTCTTTACCTTTAAAGTTTCATTCATTATAGGGCGAGTCGGTACATTGAAAATCTGCTGTTATATACCTAATCCTCAGCTAAACTCATTTGGAACCTAAACCTAACCCTACAATTTCATGAAATAAATCATCTTGATTGATCATTAAGCCCCTTATTATCACATGTCACATAAAACTAGTCTTATCTTCAATAATGTTCAAACTGTCAAATTTGTTCAATTGTCAATAATGTTACCAAACTTTTGTAATGTTTATAATATTGTTTCCAGATGTAATATTCTCCAGCTTGTTATATTGTGTTTTTTTTTGTATACATTTGAGCGTTTGAAATAAATAAAATAAATTCAAAATTAAAATCTTACCATTGCACCAGGAAAGTAGACATTCATCTCATAAGGTTCCTCAGGTAGCCATGAGCCGGCCTCTATGGAACGATAAACCTATCAAAGCAAATCAAGTACACATTAAAGGTAATACAAAGTTTTGGTATAGTGTCATGAATTTGGTTCAAATGAACATATTGGAAGCATATGCGATCCTACAATATTCAGTGATCGTTGTCGCGGTTGTAATCGAGTCTAAAGTCTTTATGTTGTATAGCTCCCTCTCAAGGTCAAGATATAAATTAAGCTATAAAAAATGTTTCTTGACTAAATTCTACCGTTTAGTTGTTCCCGTTCGGAAATTATATATCACAACTACATATTCTGAGATTATCAAGGTCGCAGCTACCATTGTATGGCAGTAGGCGCTATTAGAAATTTATCAAAATTTACCGGGAGCACTGGTAAAGTTTTATATTCAATTTTTCTCGAAAGCAGTAGTAGTTTAGGGGCTAAATTTTCTAGTGCTTATAATACATCCACAGGGGCATCCAAATTATATCAAAATTCTAAAGAATCACTATCCACCCAATTTTCGAAATTTCCCCAAACTTTGTATTACCTTTAAATACAATACCTCTCCAAGTATGTGGATATGTGTGCAGTGTCTACTGAGTATGGGAAAGGCTTCAGCCCATTTATAATTCCGTAATGCCCCCCCCCCCCCCCCCCCAAAAAAAAAAAAAAAAAAAAAAAAAAATCTTCTCATTTAATAGATGTTTTTGTTGATGAATAGCACTAAAAAAAATCCTAAGCTGCTGTGACCAAAAGTGTGGAGTGACTTTCTAAACCAAAGAAGCAAAAATTATTTTACATTGTGGACCAGGATGTAAATTCCAATGTAAAATCCTAATGTGTAAAACGAAGTGGGTTGATGATGGTGATGATTATGATAATGATGAATTGGTGATAATGATCATTATGATAATGGTGATGATAATGGTGGTGGTGGTGGTGATGGTAATGATGATGCAACATAAGCAATTACAAAGAAGAAATAAGTTTCCTTTTCAAACAAAGAAAAGCAACGCAGTGTAGAGGAAGAATGACTGACATGAGCGCTTTACAAGAACCCATTATAATTTATTATTATTATTCACTACACTGAAAAAAGGAAAAGCCATGACAAGCCAGGAAATGAGTAGGAAATATGAATTCCCAGAAGAAGAAGACAAAATATTTATTTATTAATTTATTATCATCATCATCATCATCATTATTTTTTTCCTCTTTTTTTTAGGGGGGGGGGGGGGAAGATATATGGTAATGATATTTTTCATCTAAACCCCCCCCCCCCAACCCTTCTACTAAAATGGTATGGGAGAAGAAAAGAGACTCACCCAGTCCATAGAGAGAATCCAGGACCCCCTTGCGATGCCGGAGAGAACATTGAGAGTCCTCCTGTTCTCGCCAACCACAACATGGGTAGTGGTATCACACACGCTATCAGTCACCTCAAAGCTTCCCAGGTCCTTCACAACCGATAGGACAATCTCTTGGTCACTGCAGGAGAGAGAGAAGAATATCGAGTTTGGGAGAGTGGGAGGGGAGACAGAGAGAGACAGGGAGAGAGACAGAAAGAGAGAAAAAGAGAGAGAAAGAAAGGGATATCGAGAGGGAAGGAGAGAGAGAGAGAGGGGGGAGGGAGAGAGGGGGGGGGGGGGGCGTAGAGAGAGTGAGAGAGAGAAAGGGGGTTGGGGGGGTAGGGAGAGAGAAAAAAAAAATACATATTCGATTTGTTGCTTTTAGGAGATAAAACCTTCAGATTATATTTTTCCAACAATGTGTAGCCCGATGGCTCAGTGGTAGAGCAGTGGTCTTGTACCAGGGAGGTCCTGGGTTTGAAAGTGATTTGATGCACTAGTGCCCTTTGGTAAGGCATTAATCATCATTACCAAGTCCCTCGGAGCGGACTTAAAGCCGTCGCTTTCCTGGTCACTTACTTACAAGCATACACATGCTTTCTTAGCAGTCAGGTAAAACAAACCAACCACAAACCAACCAACAGTCAAATGTTCTGTAAAGGGATTGGGTAACTTTGTCTCAATTTGTTTAGGGCTTCAATATTACACCATATCACAGTCACTGATGACAGGTAGGGCCTTGCATCTCAGATTTAATATTGTTAAACGATGCCTTTAATTCTCCCTACCTGTGATGCCTATGTAGTCTAGGCATGCACAACTAAAATTTACTGGAGTTCTGCAAATGTTAAAAGACAAGATAAAAACTAATTTACGAAAAATCAGGATAGAAAACTCACCTCCTATGCAAGCTTGTCATTACAATTGTTGATTTCTTCTGCAAGATAAAATGCAAATAAAGTTGAAAAGCATCTGTCAAACCGGAAAAAATCAACCAACCAGTGTTTAACCAAATGTAGTATGCCTCCATATACCTGGTGGTTTCTGTATGAAGCATTGGGAGCTGCAAAAATTCAGTGGTCAACAAGTTAATTGATATGCACAAGTTAATCTGGTAAAAGTTCTGAAGTACTAATGTCTGATGTCATGGAATATCCTAGGAAAAACATTTAATGTCCCCAAATTCTCACAAAATCAATCATGCATAAATGCATCGACTTTGCCTCCCAAAATGACACAGCTGTATCATGAACCTTTATAAACCTTCAAATGTACAGTTGACACTAAATTATTTATACCAAATTTTTGCAATTTTGTAAGTATGTGAAAAATTGATTTGTTCAGATTTGTGTTTCTTGAGAGTGTGACATACTAAAGCATAATTCAAACAGTCCACCTTTCGTTTTTGAGTTATGAAGACATCAAATTTACAAGGGGTATGAATAATTTAGTTGTTATCTGTATATTGTACACAAATCTTTTAAATATGATGACTTCGATATCCCTTAGAGAGGTGACTGCCTAAATTCGAATATTGAATCTTACATGTCCAAACTAAAAAAGTGTAATATTCGTCTTTAAGTGAATAGTTGTTTGTAGCAAGAAAACAACCAAAATTAGGAGGCGTAATTATAAATTAGTGTCAAGGCAAGGCATTAATCTACATTTGCCACTCAATACCCAAGAGAGAAATGGGGACCTTGTAGGATGACGAAAGCATTTGTGTTAGGTTGGAATACTTCAGGAAGTGGAGATGGTGCACATTGTGCGTGAATGAATCAGATGAACGGGTTATAATATTTGTTAAGCACCATTCCGTATTAAGCGCTATATAAATCAAAAATTGAAATTAATATCATTGTGATACATGTTTGTTAATTGCAAGCAACTCTCCTCACCTTTCTGCTTGTTGTTATACTGTCGGACAAAGTCACTTTCTTCCTTTTCTTTTTCTTTTCTTTACTGGCTGTTGATTTACCTGAAGACGGAAATAAAGAAATATTAACCGACAGGCAGAAACAAAGAAAAATCGAAATTACATGACCTTCAGTTGCCACATGGCTAAATTAGATGGATTTTTAAAGATATTTTGAAGAGATAACTTAATTAGAGATCACTTGAAGAGTCATCATTGATTTCCACAACAAACCGGAGACATTTTGGTTTATCAACTTTTTCAGTTTACAGGTGACTATTAAACACTAAGGCCCGTATTCTGAAGTCGTGTCTAACTTAGCCACGTCTAAAGTTAAACAACTGTTTAGTTAGACACGACTTAGACAGGACTTAGACGCGAGGTCGTTTCTAAGTCCTGTCTAACTAAATTTCGTATTCTGAAGTCGTGTCTAAGTCTCGTCTAACTAAACAACTGTTTAAGTCCTGTCTAAGTGGTGTTTAACTAAACAACTGTTTAAGTTCTGCGCAAGTCTTGTTTAACTTTCAGTCACGACTTCTGCGCATGCCCAGTAGGCGTTAATTCTGACGATAGACCCAATGCGCATGCGTGCGCGCACCGGATAAGTAAATTAACGCGCACAGCCAGCTAGTGCGCGTGCCTAGCTGTGCGCGTACTGGTACCATGGTGATGTGATCGTGACGTAATGACTAGACTGCATGCATGTATTGCACTGTGTGACGTACGTGTACTACACGTACACTTTACACAAACGCACTAATAATATCACTTATCAGTGCCTCAGTGCTCGGAAGAACCAGCAAAGAAACTTCTCCAACAGAATGGTTAGTTTATTATAGATTATGGAATTTCCAAGATGTCACCATTAGATAAGAATAGTTAATATTATCGAGAAAAAAAATCAGGCTACACGAGAAAAAATCCTGCAAAATGTATTTGAAATTTTATAGAATGCACGTACCATCGTTCTCCCCACAAGTTCGGGGTCAGCAAGTAGAGTGTACCGTAGACGTTGAAAAGAAGCATAATCGCGCCCTTAAACAGGACTTAAACAACCTCTCGCAGTTGTCTAAAGTTAAACAGGACTTAGACAGGACTTCGTGTTTAACTTTATTTAAACACAACTTCAGAATACGAAAAAAGTTAGACACGACTTCGTGTCTAAAGTTAGACGGGACTTAGACAGGACTTAGACAACTGTTTAGTTAAACAGGAGTCAGACACGACTTCAGAATACGGGCCTAAGCCTTTTCGTAAGTTTTGGGTGACTTTTGGATAACGCAACTAATCATACACTCAAAATTCACACAAACACACACACAACAATCCAACAGTCAAAGGATTTTGTTGTTGGCAAAATGGAAGGAAAAGAAAAGAGAAGTTTAAGCAGGATTTTACGAAGCTTGCCTTTGGTTTCTTTCCTTGTGTCATCCAAGTCCTCTGAGGATACCACACTGTCTTCACTGCTTGTACACAGCTGGGCTTCTACAGAATCCTTCTTCAACGTGGATCTTTTTGCTCTCTGTCTTATGGATCCTATGGAAAGTGAATGTATGTCAATTATGATTAAGAGCCCCTCCTACTACCCATCCTCTCTAACCAGCGCTATAGTTTCCTTTAGAACTATGAGCTCAAAGAAAGATTACCAACAGTCCTTTTCAGGACTACACACACTCAATGACGCCTGGCTGGAATGCTCCCCAGGGAGTGGAGAATGTGCATACATTGTGTGCGGGTTAGCCTTGAATTCGATGACCGGGGTAATAGTATATATATCTGTAAGGCGCTTTGATAGGGCCCTCCTGAAAAAGCGCCATATAAGAAATAGTTATTATTATTATTATTATTAAGAAAGAAAGATTACCGAGAGTCCTTTTCAGGACTCCCCAATCTTTTCCCCCTCTCTCACATGGTGCAACCGTAAACCTACTGTATAAATTATGATTAGTAACAATAACCCCCTCCTCAAAAAAAAATAATACTGTTAAAGAAGAAATATTTGTAACCAGGGCCTGTTGCACAAAACTTACCATTGATGGTAACTTTGCCATCAAAGGTAACTACCATGGAAACCTTGATTTTGATTGGCTGTTGGCCCCTGTTACCATGGTAGTCACCATTGATGGCAAAGTTAGCATCAATGGTAAGTTTTATGCAACAGGGCCCAGAAGCTTTTGCAAATTGTTCACATCAGCCATTTGGGGACAAGTGACTTTTAAAAATTGCAAAAAAAACAAGGGCTTGTAAATTATTCAATTAAGTGGCTTCGCTCAACGAACATTCTGAATGAGTGTCGCAAGATTTAATTCACTCAAAATGCATAACAAATCTAAAGAAAATATCACAAAATTTGTGCTGCACCGTTTGCACAGATACAGACCAAAATAAGATTGCATTCATTGATTGCTTTTCAATGTATATTTGCATTATCAGAACTCATTCTAACTTCTATAAAATAAAAAAAAAGAAGGAAGAAAGACATTTTGATGTAGACACTACGATTTCTGAAAGCTTTTGTTGCCAATTTACCTTCTAGTTTAAATTCTTCGATACTGGGTCTGTTCTGAACTTCAATCGATGAGAGGATGGAGGAACAAGTCAAATCCGTCGGGAGAGGGGATAACAGCTTCCTCTTTTTAACATCATCTACATTCATGCTTCCTGTTAACAAAAAAAATACAAGAGAAGAATAACAAAGATGCATTAATGCTTCTTTTTTCTTCTCCATATTCCCCCTCAATATTCAATATTTATCCTTTTATTTACGAGTATGTTCTACCTTATTTTCATCCCAATATTTTCTTTGTCTAGTTCAAAGAACTTCAAAATGTCAGTTTTCTATCAACATCGCATGAGAAATTAGATCCATTCAGTTATACGTAGAATCAAATTGCAAAGTCATTAGAATCCAAATAATAGATAGCATAGTTCAGTAAATTCTGATTGTCACTCAATGGTCCAAGCTTAAAAAGTCAAAATCGTTCTGCTGACTTTTTACAATGGTTCAGTTTATATTCTATGCAGTTGATCATGAAGTTGACTTGCAATTGTATTACCAGCAGAGCTGCCAACCTCATGAACAGAAAATCAGTAATCACAAGGCTCGAAATCATTAATTTGGGAAATAAATCAGTAATTTCCAATGCAGCGCTATGAATCTATAAAAAAAGGCACACCAACACTGCGCTGGCGCATGTGCGCATGATTATCTGAAATTTGTGGTGAAGTTGCTAAAAATTGATTTTCAGGTCATCACAACACATCAGTTTTCCATGAGAAATTGGCTTCTATTAAGAGAATACTTGATACTTTTCCGTCTTTCTCAGCGAGTGTTGGACGGCCGCTATACTGCACAGCACTTGCTACGATAAATCATATTTCCGCCAAATCCGTAATTTTAGACAACATTCTGTCTTTTTGTGTATTATCAACAAAGAAATAAATTAATGTAAAACTTTCTCCCACTTTTCATGACAATTATATTTTATAAGCAGTCTTACCTATTCTTTGACCCAAGGCCTGATTCTCCTTCTCTTCTAACTTGGTAGGTTCCTCCTTCACTCCATCAAAGGTAGACTTCTGCGATCCTCCAGAAGAAAGAGACCTCTGCGATCCGCCAGGAGATAGAGACTTCTGCAAACTTCCACGAGAGCATGATTTTTGTTTTTTCTTTGGATGATGGCCCTCCTCCTCTTTCTTGAAGGCTACATCGGAAGGAGCTAGCCCTTTGGCGACACCTTTGGTCCTGCCCGCTGATGACCTCTTACCAATGATACTGTTCATACCTGCAGACTGTACTCCCAAAGGGTTCAGGTGATCAGCAAGAGAAGGCTGGTTGACAACCGATGCTATGCTTTTCCTCCTGTTGCTTCTCCTTCTTGTTTGATCCATCTGTCCATCTTCGGTGGAAGGCTGCACTGGAAGGGCAGGTAAGCACGAGCGTCGTCTGGTTGACGATCGAGTGCCACCAGTACCACAGGTACTCGTTGAAGCGATTGCTACGTTGCCTGTTTCAGAATCACCACACTTCTCTGCAGATGGAAGTTGATCACTGTCCTTGCTAGAAATTAGTCTCTTCCTCTTCGATGCTGATCCATTCTTAGAGCTTTGGCAGACCTCCTGCAATCTTGTTGACTCTTTCTCTTGCAAAGAAGACCTTGAGCCATCATCAGTGCCACGAATGCCGGTGGAAACGATGCAAACATCATTTATCACTGATGTATCACTCCTATCTGCAACTGTAGGGATTCTTTCTTTGCTAGCTTTGCTCCTGCTGCATCTCTTTCTCTTCACCCCCACCGATCCATCGTTCACATTTTTGCAGTCCACCTTCGAGCCTGCCGATGTCCTGTCTTGTGAAGAGCCGCCCTCATCATCAAGAGACAGCTTTCGTTTCAAAGAAATATCTCTCCTTCCTTTCCCTTTCTTCCTAGAGTCCTGCTCCTCACCATCCCCTGCACTCGAGGAGTTGTTCTCCATCAATGTTGCCTTGTCTGGTCCTCCTTGGTGACTACTTGCACCACCGACATCTGACGTTCTACCCCTTGGGGTAGCTCCGGTGCTACGCCCTCTTCCCCTGCTGCTTGCAGTTGCTGCAACTTCCCCAACAGGCTTACCGATTCTCCCCTCTCCTTCCTCTGTAAGCGTTGTAACTCTTGGAGTAGCCATACTCCTACGTCCTCTGCTCCTCCTGCTACCTGCCGCTTCCCCAGGAGGGGAACCATCTTTACCTGCTTCCAGTTTGGTACCACTAGAAGTGGCTCCACTCCCACGCCCTCTTCCCTTGTTACTTGTTGCTACTTCTGCAGTAGTTCCAACTTTCACCTCGCCTCCCTCTGTAAGCTTCACACCACTATTAGAGGCTGTGCTTCTACGCCCCCTACCCCTACTTTTCACTTCCATCTCCGCAGAGGGGGTATCGATCTCCATCTCAACGTCCTCCTCTGTTAGCTCCCTCCTGGAGTTGGGCCGTCGCACCGGTCCTGACTTGTGGAGCTTGACGCTGGTACTAGGAGATTCCGTCGTGCAGGAGTTGGCCTCCTCGGTGAAGCAATGGAGTAGCCGCTGACGGAGGGGTGTGGAGGGGGAGATGTTCGGTGAATTGGTTATGGATAGGCGCCCTGTAGGACCAGTAAAAAGAGATTAGATGAATAGAGAGATTTACCTTCAGAAAGCTTGAAATAACTTTTTTGTTAAAACTTACATAAAATCAATTAACAGAAAGCATTGACGTGCACAAGACAGGAAGACATGGAACTAATGCACGTCAGGGTATATGCAATTCTGGAATACGCATTCTAGGATAATCCTTACTTTTTGTGAGGCGAAAAATAGAATTACATCTAAACCCCTCAAAAAAAGGTGTGGAAACTCAAGTTCGATTAATTTGTATCCCTCTTGTCATGAGATAATTATAGCATTATTTAATGTCATTAGACTCATCAAACTGATGCCATATTTGTTATGATTTTGCAGCCATGGAATGAGCAGTACATCAGAATAAGAGGGTCAAAAGTGAAAAGTTACAAAAGACACTGGTAAGCACTGGTATTGTTATGCAGTGCAATACACATCAGCCCTACACTCTTCAAAGAAAGGAGCATACACAGCTGAACAGGAGCAGTGCATTTTGCAACCCTTCACCTTGGGCCTTTATAGCGCACATACCCACCATTCAAAGTGCTCAAGGCACTCCAATGTTAGCGCGGCTCTTCTAGGTTACTGCTTTTTATGCTCACAGCTTTCCATGACTGAAACTTAACAAATGATCATTTTTAAAAAGGAAAAACTCCCTTTCTAATGATACAAAACATAGCATTGATTGTGCGATAGCAAGAGAGAAATCAATCAAGCTTGAGTTTCCACACTGTTCTCATTGTACTTACGGTGAGCGGATCCCTGTCCCTTCTTAATGCTGTCCAAGAGATCCAGACATGGCTTCATGAAAGAGGGTGTGTCTGGGATCAAGGATGGGGTGTGAGGAATCCCACTTGTTACCTGAGAGAGAGGGGGAGAGAGAGGGAGAGGGAGAGAGAGAGAGAGAGAGGGAGGGAGAGGGGGGGAGGGAGAGAGGGGGAGGGAGGAAGGGAGAGACAGATAGACAGAGGGGGGAGAGGAGGAGAGAGAGGGAGAGAGAGAGAGAGAGGGAGACAGACAAACAGACAGCCAGAGAGATAGAGAGGCAGACAGAGATACAGAGAGAGAGAGAGAGAGAGAGAGAAAAAAAAAAGAGAGAGACAGACACGTGGAGAGAAGGAGAGATTTGTAAGTAAATAAATAAAAATATTCTGTTTATATGTAGCATACACAATTTCCACACTATGAGAAGTACTTTCAAAAGCTTGCGAAAATGATCCTTGTCTCTTTAGCTCCAGCAACAATTATTGGGACATAGTGTATTTCAAGAAATAACTAGATGGAATTTTGACTGCGCGCAGTCGAAAATGATGCCTCCGCCATAGAGCAATTTAAACAAGTTTGGAGTTTAAATCTCCAGTGGTTCTTGAGATATCATGATAACAACCTCAATGTATGGAATTTCATAAGTTGACCTCTGTGACCCTTGACCATTGACCTACGTGCTCCAAAATCTAATCAGATTGTCTTCCTATGGTGATACACACTATCATTAAGTTTGAAAATTAAATCTCCAGTGGTTCTGGAGATATTATGATATGGTGATACATACTATCATTAAGTTTGAAGTTTAAATCTCCAGTGGTTCTTGAGATATTATGATAACAATCTCAATGTATGGAATTTCATAAGTTGACCTCTATGACTCTTGACCTTTGACCTACGTGCTCCAAAATGTAATAAGATTGTTTTTCTATAGTGATACACACTATCACTAAGTTTGAAGTTTAAATCTCCAGTGGTTCTTGAGATATCATGATAACAATCTCAATGTATGGAATTTCATAAGTTGACCTCTGTGACCCTTGACCTTTGACATACGTGCTCCAAAATCTAATCAGATCGTCTTCCTATGGTGATACATACTATCCTTTAGTTTGAAGTTTAAATCTCACATGGTTCTTGAGATATCGCGCTAACAAACTCAAATCAAGGAATTTCATAAGTTGACCTCTGTGACCTGTGACCTTTGACCTACGTGCTACAAAATCTAATCAGATCGTTCTTCCTATGGTGATACATACTATCCTTAAGTTTGAAGTTTTTACATCTCCAGTGGTTCTTGAGATATCATGATAACAATCTCAATGTATGGAATTTCATAAGTTGACCTCTATGACCTTGACCTTTGACCTACGTGCTCCAAAATGTAATCAGATTGTTTTCCTATAGTGATACACAATATCAAGAAGTTTGAAGTTTAAATCTCGAGTGGTTCTTGAGATATCATGATAACAATCTCAATGTATGGAATTTCATAAGTTGACCTCTGTGACCCTTGACCTTTGACAAACGTGCTCCAAAATCTAATCAGATCGTCTTCCTATGGTGATACATACTATCCTTAAGTTTGAAGTTTAAATCTCAAATGGTTCTTGAGATATCGCGCTAACAAACTCAATACAAGGAATTTCACACGTTGACCTCTGTGACCTGTGACCTTTGACCTACGTACTCCAAAATCTAATCAGATCGTCTTCCTATGGTGATAAATACAGCTATTCCCGAGTCTTAAGTTTAAATCTTAAATGGTTCTTGAGATATTGTGATATCGGTCAAACGGGACGGACGTACGGACGACAACCCGAAAACATGATGCCTCCGGCACCACCTTCGGTGGCGGAGGCATAAAAATATTTCCTAGAAAATGCTGAACCACCCGGACCTTCTAATTTCGGCCCGAAAGTTGTGATAATTCAAATTTTTACAATATTTGCCCCTTCGCCCCTTCCAAAGGGATATGGGGGTCAGGATCCATCTAATGGCATGTAGGTACATTCATTGTGGAAAAACTAGCCTATTAAAAAAAATATATATTTTCCTCCAAAATGCTGAACCACCCCGGACCTTCTAATTTCGACCCGAAAGTTGTGATAATTCAAATTTTTACATATTTGCCCCTACGCCCTTTCAAAGGGATTAGGGGTCAGGATCCATCTAATGGCATGTAGGTACAATCATTGTGGGGAAACTAGCCTATTAAAAAAAATTATATTTTCCTCCAAAATCCTGAACCACCCCGGCCCTTACCATTTCGGCCTGAAATTGGTGTTTATTCAAATTATCACAATATTTGCCCCTACGCCCCTTTCAAAGGGATTAGGGGTCAGGATCCATCTAATGGCATGTATGAACATTCATTGTGGGGAAACTAACATATTCAAAAAAAATAATATTTTCCTCCAAAATGCTGAACCACCCCAGCCCTTACAATTTCGGCACGAAAGTTGTGATAATTCAAATTTTTACAATATTTGCCCCTACGCCCTTCCAAAGGGATATGGTGGTCAGGATCCATTTAAAGGCATGTATGTAGATTGATTGTGGGGAAACTAGCCTTTTCACAAAATATAATATTTTCCTCCAAAATGTTGAACCACCTCGGCCCTTACCATTTCGGCCTGAAATTGGTGTTTATTCAAATTATCACAATATTTGCACCTACGCCCCTTTCAAAGGATATGGGGGTCAGGATTCATCGAATGGCATGTATGGACATTCATTGTGGGGAAACTAACCTATTAAAAAAATATAATATTTTCCTCCAAAATGCTGAACCACCCCGGCCCTTAAATTTCGGCACGAAAGTTGTGATAATTCAAATTTTTACAATATTTGCCCCTTCGCCCCTTTCAAAGGGATATGGGGGTCAGGATCCATCTAATGGCATTCATGTACTTTCATTGTGGGGGAAACTAGCCTATTAAAAAAATATAATATTTTCCTCCAAAATGCTGAACCACCCCGGCCCTTACCATTTCGGCCTGAAATTGGTGTTATTCAAATTATCACAATATTTGCCCCTACGCCCCTTTCAAAGGGATATGGGGGTCAAGATCCATCTAATGGCATGTATGGACATTCATTGTGGGGAAACTAACCTATTAAAAAAAATATATATTTTCCTCCAAACTGCTGAACCACCCCGGACCTTTAATTTCGGCCCGAAAGTTGTGATAATTCAAATTTTTACAATATTTGCCCCTTCGCCCCTTTCAAAGGGATATGGGGGTCAGGATCCATCTAATGGCATTCATGTACATTCATTGTGGGGAAACTAGCCTATTAAAAAAATATAATATTTTCCTCCAAAATGCTGAACCACCCCGGCCCTTACCATTTCGGCCTGAAATTGGTGTTTATTCAAATTATCACAATATTTGCCCCTACGCCCCTTTCAAAGGGATATGGGGGTCAGGATTCATCTAATGGCATGTATGTACATTCATTGTGGGGTAACTAGCCTAATCAAAAAATTTAATTTTTTCCTTCAAAATGCTGAACCACCCCGGCCCTTACAATTTCGGCACGAAAGTTGTGATAATTCAAATTTTTACAATATTTGCCACTACGCCCCTTTCAAAGGGATATGGGGGTCAGAATCGATTTAATTGCATGTAGGTACAATCATTGTGGGGAAACTAGCCTATTAAAAAAAAAAATATTTTCCTCCAAAATCCTGAACCACCCCGGCCCTTACCATTTTGGCCTGAAATTGGTGTTTATTCAAATTATCACAATATTTGCCCCTACGCCCCTTTCAAAGGGATATGGGGGTCAAGATCCATCTAATGGCATGTATGTACATTCATTGTGGGGAAACTAGCCTAATCAAAAAATATAATTTTCCTTCAAAATGCTGAACCACCTTACAATTTCCCTTACAATTTCGGCCCGAAAGTTGTTATAATTCAAATTTTTACAATATTTGCCCCTACGCCCCTTCCAAAGGGATATGGGGGTCAGGATCCATCTAATGGCATGTATGTACATTCATTGTGGGGAAACTAGCCTATTTAAAAAATATAATTTTTTCCTTCAAAATGCTAAACCACCCCGGCCCTTACAATTTCGGCCCGAAAGTTGTGATAATTAAAATTTTTACAATATTTGCCCCTACGCCCCTTTCAAAGTGATAGGGGGTCAGGATCCATCTAATGGCATGTATGTACATTCATTGTGGAGAAACTAGCCTATTCAAAAAATATAATATTTTCCTCCAAAATGCTGAACCACCCCGGCCCTTACCATTTCGGCCTGAAATTGGTGTTTATTCAAATTATCACAATATTTGCCCCTACGCCCTTTCAAAGTGATATGGGGGTCAGGATCCATCTAATGGCATGTATGTACATTCATTGTGGAGAAACTAGCCTATTCAAAAAAAATAAATTTTCCTCCAAAATGCTGAACCACCCCGGCCCTTACCATTTCGGCCTGAAATTGGTGTTTATTCAAATATCACAATATTTGCCCCTACGCCCCTTTCAAAGGGATATGGGGGTCAAGATCCATCTAATGGCATGTATGGACATTCATTGTGGGGAAACTAGCCTAATCAAAAAAAATAATATTTTCCTCCAAAATGCTGAACCACCCCGGCCCTTACCATTTTGGCCTGAAATTGGTGTTTATTCAAATTATCACAATATTTGCCCCTACGCCCCTTCCAAAGGGATATGGGGGTCAAGATCCATCTAATGGCATGTATGGACATTCATTGTGGGGAAACTAGCCTAATCGAAAAATATAATATTTTCCTCCAAAATGCTGAACCACCCCGGCCCTTACCGTTTCGGCCTGAAATTGGTGTTTATTCAAATTATCACAATATTTGCCCCTATGCCCCTTTCAAAGGGATATGGGGGTAGAGATCCATCTAATGGCATTTATGTACATTCATTGTGGGGAAAACTAGCCTATAAAAAAATATAATATTTTTCTCCAAAATGTTGAACCACCCCGGCCCTTACCATTTCGGCCTGAAATTGGTGTTTATTCAAATTATCACAATATTTGCACCTACGCCCCTTTCAAAGGGATATGGGGGTCAGGATCCATCTAATGGCATGTAC